GGGTGCTTCAACATGTTTTTAACACTTAGATAGGACTATCGGCATTGTTGCAAATTCTCAGAAGCGTTAACTTTTTTTTTAAGCACCCTGTACAGTGTACACTGATGAGCTCAACTGACGACACGAATCAATAAATCAATCAACGGGCGCATAATCGATTCGCCCACGTTTACCGGCTGTGACTCGGTGCAAATTGGTTGTCTTGCAGTACTTTATTCAATTGCGTCACATTTGTCCCCCCCCCCCCCCACGATCCAATCCAGATTGTCCTGTCGGCATCATTGCATGGGCTCACGTTACCCATTCGTAACGAATTATAATCTGGTGATGCGCGATTTAAAGCTTTCGTGACTGCAGGGATTCATATTATTGGTTCTTTCGGTAAAGTCACGTAGAAGGGAAATAATAAAATGATAAAAATAAAACAATGTAATAAAAAAGTAGTTTTTATTATATTATATTTGATAATTCAATACATTTTTTTATATTATATTGTTTTATTATTATGTTTTATAATAAAATATTTGTTTTATTATATGTTTTATTCATAATAACGGTTTTTGGGTTAGATCGCGTTTATTTATAAATGTGTCGTAACCCTCCACCACCCGACACGGCCAATCAGCAAAAAAGTGTCACGTTGACAAAAGACAAATAATTCACTACTTTAGCCCACCGGTGTGTTGAAGAGTGAATCCACATTTACAGTTTGAGTACGACGTTTCGCTGGTAAATACATCCAGCATCATCGGGCAATTCGCCAGAATGGTAAAGCCCTCGCTTGCTCCCGGTTTTATATAGAGCAGCAGGGTGACGTCATCACTTAACCAAGAATATGGTAATGCGCGGTTGCTGCTTGCTGCTGCTGGATTGGGCTGGCATTGGTGCACAAACACAACACCGACAAGAAAACTCACTGCAAGACGCCTATGCTATGAACTAAACTATAAACATTTTTATTTTTTTATTTTATTTTACCAGATGAAGCCCACTGAGCTATTAAAGCTCGTTTTCAGAATCGACCTGACCACAAATGATAGCTCAACGAAGAGGCTTATGATCGTGTGGAAACTTAGAGTAGCAGCCCAATACTCTCAACGTACGTTTCAAACTAAAAATATTAAGTTTTAGAGAATGAAATGGGGGTCACAAGTTAAACTAAACTATTTTTTTTATCGACCAGGCCACAAATAATACCTCCAGGAAGTGGCGTATCATATGGAAATGTACAGCAGCCGAATACTCTAAACGCGTGTTTCTAAATGTGGAGGGGAAAACCGGAGGACCCGGAGAAAAATCCACGCGACCACGGAGAGAGAAAAACAAACTCCAAATATAAATCAGGCGTCAGGATCGGGAGCGAACCCCCGAACCAGCTATATACCAGGCGAGGTAGTTAACATCTCGCCACCGTGGCAAGACGCCTATGCAGTGGTAAACACCGGCCGGATGCGAGAAAAGTTGGCAAAAGTTGCCCTCCACGTTGCGGACAGGTCAGCTCTGTGCTTGACCCTTATCCGTTAAGCTGCGGAGCAGCTGGGGTCGGCGGCCTGCGGGTCGGCAGCCGCATGCGGCTCTCTGCGGACTGCTTCGTGACGCAATGTATGCACTGCAATGTGCAATATTCACGTGGCATTGCGGCTCTTGAGATACTTCGCTTCGTACCCAATTCTCGCGAGCACCTATAAAGGCCGGAAGAGCACACGAGAGGTGTGGTGGGTGACCCAAGCACCACGCCCGTTCGCCTTTGTCTCTCCAGCGGCGATGTTTATACACCGCACCAGGTACTCGATTGAGGTTGAGTCGACCTAAGGGGTGGCCCAGGACCGGTTCAGATAATAATCGTCACTGGTGTTGGCCGTGAGCGGGAACCGAACTCGGCTCGCCCGGTTCGTAGCGCAGCGCGCTAACCGCTACACCACCGCCCCCCCCAAAGATCCCCTGTATAACCTTAACAAACTGTTGGGGCAAGTGCTGTTAGCAAGCACCTATGAAGGCCGGCGCGGCACACGAGAAAATTAGTGGCCAGCACCACGCCCGTTCGCCTTTGTCTCCCCAGCGGCGATGTTTACAGACCGCACCAGGCGCTCATTTGAGGCTGAGTCGACCTAAGGGGTGGCCCAGGACCGGTTCCGATAATAATCGTCACTGGTGTTGGCCGTGAGCGGGAATCGAACTCGGTCGCGCGTCCTCTTGGTGTGTTGGGAGTCAACTTCACCAACTTGCCTCGCCTACTCGGCGTGGCGTTTCCTTGCACCGCAGAGCGGGTCTCAGGGCACTGATTCCATCCCACGTCCAGTCTCCGCCGCGTCTCAGCAAAGTGCTTTAGTCAAACACCAGCGACTACAACTACAACAACAAATACAACAACTACAACAACAACCAACATTCCTTTCTTAACGATAGAGCGGGGCGGCATTTCGTGATGGAGAGAAGGGTCCACGGAAGCCGATAATTACAAGAGAGAACTGCAGTGGATCATCGATTATACTCGATTATAATCGATTTCAATCGATTATTTAGAGATGATCCGGCGGCTTGTGGTGGGGGAAAGGGGGTGCCAGATAAAAAAAAAACTCCGGATAATCACCAATAAAATTTAAAATAAAATAAAACAACTAAATTAAATCACGTTTCGGAGGCAACACAAGCTTCCGTCTTCAGGTGGAACAGTCACAGCAAGACAGCTGCATCAAGTGGAGAGGCTCTGTGAGCCTCGAGGTTATGTACAGGAAAAAAACAAAGAGTATGAATCCTTGCAGTCACCGAAAGCTTCAAATCTAGAATTAATCACCAATAAGTATTTTTGCACATTCTTGCATGACAATATTATGTTTAAAAAAAAATTGTTTACTGTGTGAAACTGGCATAAGTAAACATACAAATAGACACGAATAATGATCCTCCTGTAAAACGTTGCCGTGTTTACCGTAGCGTTCTTACCACTCCAATCTCGAAGGCGGGGTGATGTATGAACGTGCACCAGTTTCATTAAGTTGCATGTGGTTGGAAGCAGCCGCCGGAATAATCGCGCGGTGCCCTATAATCGATGATCAACTGCATATTGCAATCGTTTAAGTTGTATGTAGTATATAATGTACTCTATACATATAATATTCAACACTAAAATCGAGCATATATATTTATTTATTTTTGTCACGCTGCACAGTCACGATCGCCGGACTGGGTCACTGCCTTTGGATCCCGGAACGCCGGGTCGCTCCCGGAACGCCGGATAACGCAGGCGGATAGTCGCGCGTCGTGCCCGATATGGGACGATCCGCTTCGCTTCTGATATTCTTTCAGAGCGACCTCCGTCCAGGGTCGCACGGGGTTGTAATTACGGCGATGCAATTGCCACCGCGCCCGTAATCGCGCACATTGGCGTCGTGAGTGATTTATAGACGAGTGCGTGGATGCGTGGGGGGGGGGGCGGTGGTGTAGTGGTTAGCGCTATGCCGCGCTACGAACCCGGCGACCCGAGTTCGATTCCCGCTCACGGCCAACACCGGTGACGATTCTATCTGAACCGATCATGGGCCTCCCCTAGGTCGACTCAGCCTCAAATGAGTACCTGGTACGGTGCGTAAACATCGCCACTGGGGAGACAAAGGCGGCCGGGCGTGGTGCTGGCCGTCCACCCCCTCGTGTGCCGTGCCGGCCTTCATAGGTGCTCGCTAACAGCACTTGGCCCTACAGTCTGTTAAGTCTACACGGGGGATCTTTGTCTGTGCATGTCAGTGTGAATGTCAATACAGTACGTGAGTGTGTGTGGGTGTGTTCGTTCGGGAGCGGTGGTTCAGTTATTGGCGCACCGCGCTACGAAACCGGCGACCCGAGGTCGACTTGACCTTCAATGAGTACCTGGTGCGGTGTTAAACAAAAACAAACCACTGTCTGCACTGGAGATACAAAGGCGGCCGGGCGTGATGCTGACAACTGTTACCTTCTTTGACACTTCCGACTTTCGCGCCTCAACAAATGCCCCGAGCAGCGAGAGTGGAAATGTGAGCGTGGGGGTGGGTGAGCGTGAGCGTGGGTGAGCGTGGGGGTGGGTGAGAATGAGCGTGGGTGAGCGTGGGGGTGGGTGAGCGTGGAGATGAGTGAGCGTGGGGGTGGGTGAACGTGAGAGTGGGTGAGCGTGGGGGTGGGTGAGCGTGGGGGTGGGTGAGCGTGAGGGTGGGTGAGCGTGGGGGTGGGTGAGCGTGGGGGTGGGTGAGCGTGGGGGTGGGTGAGCGTGGGGGTGGGTGAGCGTGGGGGTGGGTGAGCGTGGGGGTGGGTGAGCGTGGGGGTGGGTGAGAGTAGGTGAGCGTGGGGGTGGATGAGCGTGGGGGTGCGTGGGGGTGGGTGAGCGTGGGAGTGCGTGGGGGTGCGTGGGGGTGGGTGAGCGTGGGGGTGCGTGGGGGTGCGTGGGGGTGGGTGAGCGTGGGGGTGGGTGAGCGTGGGGGTGGGTGAGCGTGGGGGTGGGTGAGCGTGGGTGGTGTGCGTGAGCACTCACAGAAACATTGCGTTGTGTCCGCAGCTTTCCCCCTTGATTGTTGGCTAAGAAAACGCATGGAGGGGTTTGTACAAAGACAAGAATCCCACACGAAGCCTTTTAACAGACTGTGATGTTAGCGAGTACTTATGAAAGTCGGTGACACAGCATCACGCCCGACCGCCTTTGTCGCCCCGGTGCTGATGCTTTACACACACACACACCGCACGTCAGGCTGTACTCATGTAAGGCTGAGTCGACGCAGGTTTCAGATAATATCGTCACCGGGAGTCGAACTCGGCCGGCCGGGTTTGCAGCGCAGCGCGCTCACCGCAACGCTGCCGCACCCCCAACACGCGCACAGACAGAGACCACTCGCACCCCGCGCCCCGTATCGCCTTGACAAGTTCAGACAACCGAGCAAACACACGCGCAAGCGTTTCCCCTGCGTCAACCCGGGGCGTTTAAACATTCGCGCTTTTGTATTTATTTTGCTGCTGCTGTTGTTGTTGTCTGTTTGCAGATGAGCGTGAGCGCGTCCAGAAGAAGACCTTCACCAAGTGGGTTAACAATCACCTGCAGAAGGTAGTCCCCGCCGCAACAGCTCCCCCACCACATCATCGCCTGAGCAGACTGTTGGGGGCGAGTGCTGTTAGCGAGCACCTATGAAGGCCGGAAAGGCACACGATGAGGGTGGTCAATACCACGCCCGACCGCCTTTGTCTCCGTAGTGGCGTCGTTTACACACCGCCGCACCAGGTACTCATTTGAGGCTGAGTCGACCTAGGGGAGGCACATTGCCGGTTGAGATCATCGTCACCGATGTTGGCCGTGAGCGGGAGTCGAACTCGGGTCTCCGGGTCTCCGGGTCTCGTAGCGCAACCACTACACGACCGCTCCCAACCCATCACCACCATCAACACCACCGCCACGCACTCGATCCGGTGGCCGCGATACGCGATACTACGATATACGATAATAGATTCATCCGTTTAGCTCCATCAACATCTTTATATCAGAATCTTTATTTATCCCGGAGAAATCCGATGAGCTATTAAGCTCTTTTTCACAGATGTCCAGTAAGGGGTGAGTCAGAAAGTTACAACAACAATACAAACAGCACGACTGGAGTGCAAAGTCTAGGAAAAGTCAGCAAATCGCTAAACATAAATACTCCAAGTACAAATTGCATATCGTTGTCGTACCACGATTATCGTTGCTCATCTTGCTATGTTTTTTTATGGAATATTTTACCTGATTCTATTGTAATGTGAAAGTTGTGGGTGGGTGTGATAACCCACCAAAGCAGAATGTGAACTCGCAACCGACAGATCCAGGAGCGAGCTTCTCTCAGCTGCCGAGCCACCTGGCGTGGTTTAATCGTTCCGCTGTTGCAAAATAAAAAAACGGTTACCACAATAATGGAACCGCATCCGTGAAAAAAATCACAACCAGACTCGGTCCTGGACCTCTCCCTAGGTCGACTCAGCCTCAAATGAGTACCCGGTGCGATGTGTAAACATCGCCACTAGGGAGACAAAGGCGGTCGGGCGTGGTGCTGGCCACCCACCCCGTCGTGTGCTGTGCCGACCTTCATAGGTGCTACTCGCTAACAGCACTTCACCCCACCGTCTGTTAAGGGTACACGGGGGATCTTTGTCTTTGCGGTGGTGGCGGGGCAGCGTGGGCAAAGATGCCAAAGGCAGATTGACATTGGGCGTGAGGCGCGTTCGGCCGGCATGGGCAGGGTCGCGTCTGCCGTGATTACGACGAGCGAGAGACTTCACTCCCCCCACTCCCTTAACCCAAACCCAGCCAGACGTGACGGCGGCAGACGACGCGACGCACGGTCGAGACGGCTTACACGCCCCCCCAATCCCCCTAAAAACGTACGAAGCAGAACGCGCAAGGACGCCCGTCTCCCCCGCGAACGCATCCATCCCTTGCAAACATCCGAACGCATCCATCCCTTGCAAACAACCGCGAGACGAACCACGGCGCCCAATCAACACGCCTAGAAATGACAGATGGTTGGTGATACTTGTTGCTGCATTGGCAGTGGCACGCAGGCATGAATGTCATTTTTTTAAAAAAAGTACCACATCATTAATAACACTGTGACCTTAACACGAAAACAACAAGAGGTGACGTTTCGGGCAATGGCCCTTGATCACTGCACATTATCAAGAGGCCAGTGGACCTATGTGGCGTAGTCAATTGGTCCCATGTGGAGCAGTCATGAAGGCTATAGGGGATGGGTGTATATTGCTTTCCCCCACTGCCAAGATGTATGGGTGGGGTGTTTGGAACCCCCTCCTGCATTGCTACGCCAATGCTCGCCCATGAAACACCCATGAGGGCTCATTTACACACACGTGGCCCTCGTTTAAACAATCGTGGATGGTGCACCGATCATTCGGCGTCATGGACAACACTTAACTCGATGTGAATAGCAGATGTGTCGCTCCCATTATCGTGCTTTCCTCGCACCGTGTCGTGGGGTGGTTGGCTGTTTTGACCGTACTTCACCATGATGGTCAGGTGGGAGCTTAGAAGTACAACACAACAACAATACAATTTGCTGCACTGCCTTCTGCTGACTGCTTAACCACGTCGTGTCGTAGCTCAACCGCGCGAACCGCCTGCAACGCGCCGACATGCCAGGCACGGGCCTTAACCCATTCCTGCACCGTCTAGGATAAACCCTGCCGAGCTTCCACGATCTCTGACGAGTCCGTGTACATCCCCGGTCATTTGGGCACGTCCTTCCCTCCCTCGCGGATCGTAAACTTCGGGCGCTCCAAACTCTGGCCCGCCCGAAGACGGTATAGCAAGTGTGGTGGATTAATCTCCACCTGTTCCAAGCTTTGTGGGATAAAGTGGTGCCTGCCCCCACCACCCCCCCCCCCCACCCCTCAAATGCGTGGGCTTTCTGTGGGCAGCCCAGTTTCTTCCCACACATAAACACTCGTTCATTTGCAAACACCTTTACATATAGAGGATCGCCTTTCCCGTTTGTTCATGGTTCCTCCTCGCACCAGTGAGTCAATTCTTCAAAACTACTCATTTGTGTTTAATTTGTTGTCCGTCCTCCATACCTCCGATTAGTTGGCTACGTACGGTGCGAAAGAAGTTCAGCATACGTACATAACACGAGTCGTTCTATCTCTCTCTCCGAGAGCGAGCTGATACTGTGCAGAGTTTTAATTATTATTATTGTTATTCCGTACGAACGTTCCTTCTTTCTCTCCCCCTTCAGGTGAACGCTAAAATCTCCGACCTCTTTGAGGACCTGCGAGATGGACACAACCTCATCTCCCTGCTGGAGGTCCTCTCCGGAGAGAAGCTGGTAACCGCACGAACGCACGATGCACACAAAACCAGCACACCCGCACCTCCGTTAGCACGGTTGGCTGTGTACGGTGCGATAGAAGTTCAACGAACGTGCATGCATGGCACGGCAGCTAACTCACGTGGCGTCGTGCGCACTGGGTCGTGGCCGCGCGTCCATTCGGGTGGCCACTGAGCCGTGCGCTAATTGGCGACCCCACCGATGAGTGAGCCCCACCGTTAGTGCGACCCCACCGATAACGAGTGACCCCCTGTCCGCGTGCGTGACCCCCACTGTTAGTGCGACCCCACCAATAACATTGACCCCCTGTCCGCGTGCGTGACCCCCACTGTTAGTTTGACCCCGCCGATAACGAGTGACCCCCCTGTCCACGTGCGTGTGCAGCCCCGAGAGAAGGGCAGCATGGCTTTCCACAAGCGCCAGAATGTGCAGTTCGCTCTGGAATTCCTGCGCAATCAAAACGTGAGTGCGCCGCCCGCTCCGAACTCCACACTCACACAAACGCACGCCACAGGTACCTTGACGCTTGAAACATAAAATCATAATAACAAATCCAGGTTCTTAGCTCTTTTGGTAAAGTCACGTTGAAGGGAAACAATAAAATAATAATATATATAAAACAATAAAAATTCTCACGACGTTTCGACCATAACACAAACGGTCGTCATCAGGTGTGAAAAAAACAACGGCAAGAAACATTTGAAAGAAGTGTCGGTTTGCATTAATTTATTTATTTTTAAACGGTGTATTTCTTTATTTATAAAAAACGTCAGCGCCACGCGCAGCGATTTGACAGTTTATTTAGAAGGACTAGTCCATCTATGTTCTGAAAAGAGGAGGGGGGAGACGAAAAATTAATGTATGCTGTCTGAAAGCCACTGTAAGCGTGAACAATCAATTAAGGCCTGAAATGGTTTATCAAATTCTTCCAATGATTGCTAAGCCAGAATCCATCTTCTCGGTTGAAATTGTCTCTGTGCTTGTATATGTGGATAGCCTCATGAACGAATCTCTCATGGTAGCCAGATGGCTTACAAAGAACCTCTGTCTTGGAAAAGTCAATGTCATGTGAGCCTACTGAATTATAACAATGATCTGCCACGGCCGAGGTGTTGGTCCTACCGTGTTTAAGGTCTGCTTTGTGTTCACGAATGCGGTCCGAGACATGGCGTTTGGTTTCTCCAATATAACTAATACCACAGAGGCAACTTAGTTTGTAGACACCAGGGTACTGTATGTCCGGAATCACATCTTTTACAGAAAGAACCAGATCACGGATTTTATGTAATGTGTTGAAACGGACCTGGATCTTGTGATTGTTCAAGATTTTGGAGATCTTTTTTGTGATCCCCGCAATGTAGGGTAAAGTGATGGTTTTGAAAGGCTCCTCGAGAGGGTCCTTCTTCATGGTTTGAGTGATAGCTTTGCGGATTGTATAGTCGGAGTAACCATTAGCCTTAAGAGCTTGGTGTACGTGCTTGAGTTCACTGCCTATGTGTTCCTGGTCGGATATGCATTGGGCTCTATGGTACAGAGTCTTGATGAGAGAATTCTTCTGTGATGGATGGTGGTGGGAATCCGGTTTCAGATAAGCATGCGTATGGGTAGCTTTCCTGTAGACAGAGTGGCTCATTGAACCATCAGGTCTCTTTTTTATTAGGACATCCAAAAAAGGTAGCTTGCCATCTTTTTCGACTTCCATGGTAAAACTGATGGCTAGGTGTATGGAATTGATGTGGTCGAAAAATTGGTCTAGAGCAGGCCGGCCATGTGGCCAGATGACAAAAGTGTCATCCACATACCTCTTCCATAAGGTTGGGCGCAGAGTGGCAGTCTGGATGGCGTCAGTCTCAAATTTCTTCATCGAAAACTGTTTAGATTGATCAATTAATGCTGCCAGGCCACCAAGATTATACGGCTTACCAAAAATACATAAAGTAGATATACCCCTTCGTCCCATCGTCTCTACTATCAACTCCCCCACCTACAAACTGGCTCGTTTTTTGTCTGAAATCCTGCGTCCTTTTACTGGAAAAACCACCTCTGCGGTACAAAATTCTACTCACCTGGTATCGACAATCAAGGGTATTTCCCTGTCCCCAGACGACCTGCTTGTCAGTTTTGATGTAGTTTCCTTATTCACCAAGGTTCCTGTACCTGACACCATCGCAATCATTGAAGACTTGGTTCATCAAGGACTAAACACTGAGGTACCCCCCCTGGTGAGACACTGTTTAACCAATACATACTTCACCTGGAATGGAACTTTCTACAAACAAACTGAGGGCACCCCAATGGGCTCCTCCCTATCTCCGGTTATAGCTAACATTTTCATGGAGAAATTTGAGACTGACGCCATCCAGACTGCCACTCTGCGCCCAACCTTATGGAAGAGGTATGTGGATGACACTTTTGTCATCTGGCCACATGGCCGGTCTACTCTAGACCAATTTTTCGACCACATCAATTCCATACACCCAGCCATAAGATTTACCATGGAAGTCGAAAAAGATGGCAAGCTACCTTTTTTGGATGTCCTAATAAAAAAGAGACCTGATGGTTCAATGAGCGACTCTGTCTACAGGAAATCTACCCATACGGATGCTTATCTGAAACCGGGTTCCCACCACCATCCATCACAGAAGAATTATCTCATCAAGACTCTGTACCATAGAGCCCAATGCATATCCGACCAGGAACACATAGGCAGTGAACTCAAGCACGTACACCAAGCTCTTAAGGCTAATGGTTACTCCGACTATACAATCCGCAAAGCTATCACTCAAACCATGAAGAAGGACCCTCTCGAGGAGCCTTTCAAAACCATCACTTTACCCTACATTGCGAGGATCACAAAAAAGATCTCCAAAATCTTGAACAATCACAAGATCCAGGTCCGTTTCAACACATTACATAATATCCGTGATCTGGTTCCGTCTGTAAAAGATGTGATTCCGGACATACAGTACCCTGGTGTCTACAAACTAAGTTGCCTCTGTGGTATTAGTTATATTGGAGAAACCAAACGCCATGTCTTGGACCGCATTCGTGAACACAAAGCAGACCTTAAACACGGTAGGACCAACACCTCGGCCGTGGCAGATCATTGTTATAATTCAGTAGGCTCACATGACATTGACTTTTCCAAGACAGAGGTTCTTTGTAAGCCATCTGGCTACCATGAGAGATTCGTTCATGAGGCTATCCACATATACAAGCACAGAGACAATTTCAACCGAGAAGATGGATTCTGGCTTAGCAATCATTGGAAGGATTTGATAAACCATTTCAGGTCTTAATTGATTGTTCACGCTTACGGTGGCTTTCAGACAGCATACATTAATTTTTCGTCTCCCCCCTCCTCTTTTCAGAACATAGATGGACTAGTCCTTCTAAATAAACTGCTAAATCGCTGCGTGTGGTGCTGACGTTTTATATAAATAAATAAATACACCGTTTGAAAAAAAAATTAATGCAAACCGACACTTCTTTCAAATGTTTCTTGCCGTTGGTTTTTTCACACCTGATGACGACCATTTGTGTTATGGTCGAAACGTCGTGAGAATTTTTATTGTTTTATATATATTTTATTATTTTATTGTTTCCCTTCAACGTGACTTTACCGAAAGAGCTAAGAATATGAATTACTGCAGTCACGAAAGCTTTAAATCAAAACAAATCCAGGGTTAAATTATTCACTTAATATATTGTGTCGCTGGAAGACTGAAGCAGACACGTGCCTCGTAGCTGCAACCATAACTTGCCTTGCCTTTTCAAATTCCTTCCTTGATTTTAAGATGTCCTTTTTCTTCCGCGTGTGATTAGCGAACCCCCTGCGCGAGTTGCTGTTAAATATTTCCGTGTTTACCCTGCTGTCAAGTGTTACTTGAGTGGTGCGTGACTTGAGTGATGTTGTTGTTTTCCCTCGATTGAGTTCGCTACTCGGTGTCTGCAACGTTGTGGTTTATTCGCCGGTGTAACTTCCCTTTTTCACTAAGGCCCTCTGCGTGGTCCATCTTGTAAAACAGCTTAAGGCTGAATGTGTCAATCAATCGATCAAAAGATAACTATAAACTGGCTTTAGTGTGCTGGGAGCGGAAATAGTTTCCGTGTTGCCGATTCGGACAGATCCGACCCGGATAAAATGAAGTGCTGAATAAAGTATTAATCCCGCACCTCAGATTGTCACGGTCGGTTATGTACAGCGGGAAATAAGTTCAACATACAAACGTCCATAATCGTAAATGACTACAATAAACACAGATCCTTCTCGTCAACAACAAAAAATCAAGTGCCGTTCAAGTCCATCGGCCTAGGACAATGTCCTCCCAGTGGCGTTTGTAGCAACAGGCAAACCCCTGGACTGGCTTCGACTTCTCGGAGTCTTCATCAGCAGTGTGCGGCCCTGTTAAATGATGTTCGTGGCTGCTCCGCAGGTGAAGCTGGTGAACATCCGCAGTGATGACATCGTGGACGGAAACCCCAAGCTCATCCTAGGCCTCATCTGGACCATCATTGGTCACTTCCAGGTGAGCTCTAGCTGCATTGCCCTCACCTGTAATCCGTAGTAAAACGTTGGGGCTAACTTTGGTCCAACAGTTCCAACCACGTGCCAACGTCGGCCCAAGGTTGGCACATTTATTCGGAAAATGGCCAAATGAGCGTTGCACCTCCCGAGTTCCAATGACTGAAACGACGCAGACGACGCAAACAGTCCACCGGTCCTGGCCCAAGGCAGTCCACACACAACTCAAGGCAGTCCACACACGGCCCCAGGCATTCCACACACGGCTCCAGGCAGTCCACACACGGCTCCAGGCAGTCCACACACGACTCTAAGTAGGCAACACACGGCTCCAGGCAGTCCACACACGGCCCCAGGCACTCCACACACGACTCTAAGTAGGCAACACACGGCTCCAGGCAGTCCACACACGACTCTAAGTGGGCAACACACGGCTCAAAGGAATCCACACACGCCTCCAGGCACTCGATTCTATTCTATCTAGAATTTATATCGCGTCCCTTTCCAGGCAATACGCGTTCATAAAACAGTACATCAGACCTCGTCAGTATACACGCGAGCGTATTTACCCATTGAATGGGCGCCAGTAATTCAGTAACGGAGTGCAAGGGGCCTGCAGCTCGCTGCTACTGCACCTTCCACTGTTGCACGCAGCAACTCAAGCTGTGTGACTTCACGCACGAACCAGGAACAAACCTTTTGCTTCGTAATCGGTAACCGGAGAGGGCTATGACACAATGGGGACCATCGGCACTTGTCTGAAGCCAGCAAACACTCGTTTAAGTCTGTAATGTTGGAGGGGCAAAACATTTTTTTTTTCATAAAAATGTGGTTTTCATGTTCAACCAGATTTGATTTATGCAAACGTCGTGAGAATTTATATTGTTTAATATATTTTTTATTATTTTATTGTTTCCCTTCAACGTGACTTTACCGAAAGAGCTAAGAATATGAATTACTGCAGTCATGAAAGCTTTAAATCAAAATTTTAGATCCTTCAGCTATATTTGTGCCAAATTTAATCTCTCCAACCCAGTCTAGAAAGTCAACCACTCCGCCGTGATCGATTACATGCAATTAAATAGAGCGTCACATACAGACCCTCGGTCAATCCACTGCTGGATGAAGGCCTCCCCACACCGTCGTAGTCTTGGCAGTTGTTTACCCATTCGTAGTTCACCACGCTGGGCAGTACGGGTTGGTGAAGGTGTGGGAGCATAGGATGACTGTACTGTGCAGTACAACAATAGGGGTGCCACGGTGGGAAGATGTTATCTCCCTCGCCTGGTATACAGGAGAGCATGAGTTCGAACCCGACCTTGACGCTTGTATATTTGGAGTATGCATGTCTCTCTCCCCGTGGTCACGTGGGTATTTCTCGGGGTCGCCAAGTTTCTCCCTCCACATTTAAAATAAATGTGCGTGTCGAGTATTTGGCTGCTATAAATTTCCCCGTGACAGGCCACTTTGTTGAGCTATCATTTGTGGCCAGGTCACTTCTGAAAAAGAGCTGTATAGCCCAGTGGGCCTTACTTTGTAAAATAAAAAAAATATAGTTACTTAAAAATATATATATGTTCTTCTGCACTGGCCTCTGTTGCCGTGGTGGAGTGCCGGTTATGGAAGGACTGCGTGGAGGGGGAGTGGGGCAGGAACTGGTCCGGATATCACTCGGCACTGAACTCGGCCATAAGTGGGAAGCGAACTCGGACCGCCGGCTTCACAGCGCCGTGAGCTAACCATCGCGCCACGGCTCCACCCCGTCGTTATGTATGTTATTATGGGTGATGGGTGTCCAGCACCACGCCTGGCCGCCTTCGTCACTCCTAGTGGTGACGTTTACAGACCGCACCATGTACTCTCAATTTAGTCTGAGTCGACCTAGGGGAGGCCCAGAAAAAAATCTCAGCTGTGTTGGCCGTGAGCGGCAATCGAACTCGGGTAGATCTTACATACACACACAAACACACTCTTGAAGGAACCTGCGATGGTGAAGGCGGGGAGAGAGTGAGTCAGCGTGGGAAGGTTCATTCTGTCAACCCAGTGAAATGTCGCAGCAAAGGAGGCGTGGAAGCCCATCCCAGGGTGGCCAGCTTTTTGCGGTTTTGTAAAAAAATGTATACTTTTGGGGTTTTTCTTTCTTTCCACCCATCCTCAGTCAGGTAATTGTCCATTTGTGCCGCGGCTGTCATAGCATTGATGCGGTGTTAAAGCTGGGCCCGGGTGTGGCAAGCTAGATGTCGGCAAACAAACCTAACGAGAATGGCATCTTTTATTCTTCCAACCTTTCAATTTTGTGGGGTAAAAAAAAAACAATTATACATGTCTGGGTTTTTTTGGCTTCTAGCCAAACATATAATTTTCAACGGACGGAGATCTCCCCGTGTAGCATTGACAGACGTTTGGGAGAGAAGTGCTGTTAGCGAGTAAAATAAAAACTAAACTATATTTTTTAACAGGTACGGTCCACTGAGCTAAATAGCTATTTTTAGAAGCGACCAAGCTGCAAATGATAGCTCAACGAAGTGGCTTATCACGTGGAAGTTTATAACAGCCAAATCATCTAAACGCATGGAGGAAATTCCAGGGGCCCCGGAGAAAAATCCACACAACCACGGGGAGAATATGCAAACTCCATATAAACAGGCATCAGGGTCGGAAACAAACCCACGGCCTCCTCCGTACTAGGCAAGGAAGATAGCATTTAACCACCACGGCCATGAAGGCTGGATAGCATCGACATCCACACACACACAATGCGTCTGCAGTGCCCCACAGACCACCGCTGTGTGGAGGTAAGCATTTCACTCTCACTTAGCTCATCTTTAATCTGCCCGGCACTCATGCCCCAACCTCTCCCTTTTCTCATTTGGGAAAGTATTAAAAAGGCTCTAAGTGACAGCCGAACGTTGCCCGATCTTGTCCGGGGATGAACGTCAATTTGAGATGCCCGAGCGAGCTCACGTACCTTGTACTGCCCCTTGCCAATCCACTGCTGGATGAGGGCCTCCCCTCATCCCGGACAGGGTATGTTAGTCGACTGCCCTTCACCACCCTGCTCAGCCACAGTTGGTGAAGGCAGCGGAGCGTGTAAGTACGGTCCGGTGCCACAGTTGATGTCGCCGCAATTGGCCTCTGCTGCCCACCACGTAGCCAGCCCCACAGCAGCCGGGGACAACCCGTTTGTGTATATGGCGGCCACCCACCCACCCAAGCCCTATCCAGGCACTATCCAGGCTCCCAAAAAAAATTCCTGCTAGCTTCCCACATGTGGAACACGCGCTCACACAGCAAGGGCCCGCGTGGTGGTGGTGGTGGTGGCGTCTATTGAGACGCAATCGCTGACGCCTCGGTCCCGTTGAGACAAACACACGCTGACGCCCGGTCCATCCGAGGGGGCTTCGCCCGCTGGTCCCACCAGGGCCACAGAGACGGTGGCGGCTGGCAGCGCGCTCAGTCGGCATCCCATCAGCGCGACGCAATGGACAAAGCGGTTTCTTTGGCTGTTGATTGTGGAGGCAATAAAGGGAATCTGTGTAAAAGCAAACAAACGGGGCCAATGAGTGAACGGCACCGAGCCGTTCACTCATTGGGGGGGGGGGGGGTTATTGGTGAAAGAGTTCGTATCGATCAAAGGTTGGGCTTGGTGTCGCTGTCGCTCTCACAGCCTCAACGTCGATGTTGAGGTTGTGAGAGCGGTGAGGCTGAGTTGAGCGGCGTGGGGCTGGGGAGAGCCGGTGCTGAGTTTGGGATGAGCGGCGGTGAGGTTTTGAGATGCGTGGTGGCGAGGCATGCCCTGGGCTGAGCCTGTGAGGCTTTGTCGGTGAGTTTGAGATGAGCGGTGAGACTGTGCGAGCGGTCGAAGGCTGGTGGGTGGCGGGTTTGAGATGAGCAGGAACGGGTGAGGCTGGGTTGGTGAGCGTTTGTGTGTGTGCGTGCGCATCGGGGAGCGGTAGTGTAGCGGTGAGCGCGCTGCCCTATGAACCCGCCGATCCGAGTTCGATAACCGCTCATGGCCAGCGCCGGTGATGAACATCTGAACCGGTCCTGCGCCTTCACGAGGTTCGACGCAGCCTCAAATGACTTCCTGGTGCTGTGCGTCAACGTCGCCGCTGGGGAGGCGTAGGCGCCCGATCGTATTGCTGACCACCCACCCCCTCGTGTGTGTGTCGCGTGGGCCTTCACAAGTTTGCTACTCGCTGACAACCATCTGCCCCAACAGTCCGTTAAGGCTATACGGAGGTCGGGGGCAGTGTCGGATTAAGTTAGTGCGGGGCCTGTAGCATATGCTATAAAGGGGCTATTAATTGTAAAGTAATTGTATTTTTTCAGTTACCATGAAGCCAGATATTACGACAAATCGCTAACCTTAAACACCCAGCCGTTCATAAAAGTTGAAGGCAGTATAGTACTATAGTAATAGAGCAAGTGCAGCATCACTGAACCGGAATTGACCGCTTGAAAGCATTTTAGCGCGGGGGCCCTTGAAAGTGCGGGGCCCGTAGCCACTACTACACGTGTAGCCACTACTACATGTGTAGTAGCGACTTTTGCTGCTAGGCTAATCCGTTCACTGGTCGGGGCATCTTCGTCTTTGTGTGCGGCGCCACGCAGGTGCCGGACGTGAGTGTGGGTGAGGAGCACACGGCGCTCCGTGCCGAAGACAAACTGCTGCTGTGGGTGCGCGGCGTCATCGCCGGCACCCCGGGGCTCGTGTGCAACGACTTCACGAGCTCGTGGCGTGACGGCCACGTGTTCTGCGCCCTCCTGCGCTCGCATCTGTGAGTGACCGCGCGGGGCAACACGCAGAGCACGCACGCGCTGCGTCCTCGGGGCATATACTGCGTGCATGCCCCGAGGGCATATACTGCCTTCAACTTTTATGCATGCCCCGAGGGCACACGCGCGCTGCGCCCTCGGGGCATGCACGCTATGCCTCCAGCAGATGCATGCTATGCCCCCAGGGCATACACACTGCGCCCCCGGGGCATGCACGCTATGCCCACAGCACATGCACGCTATGCCCCTAGGGCACACCCGCTGCGCCCCCGGGGCATGCACACTGTACACACAGGCCATGTACACTATGCCCACAGGGTATGAACGTTGCGTCCCTAGGGCATGCACGTTGCACACGCAGATTCGAGTGACAGCGAATTTCTCGTGTTTGTGGCAGTGGTATTTGTCGTCCTGGTGGTGCATTGGTAATGTGGTTTGTTTGTTGTAGCGATCGTGAAGTGACATGTTTGTGGTGGGTGTTGTATCGTGCTAGCAGTGGTTCGTGCACTGCGCTACACACGAGGAAAATTGAGTTAAATCCCCGACCACGGCTAACATAAGTGGCGAATATCTGAACCGATTCTTGGCATCCCCTAGGTTGGCTCAACCTTAAATGTACACCTCAGTGTGGTGTGTGAACATCAGCACATCAGTGATGCTGTTCACACACCACACTGAGGTGTGTGTGAACATCAGCACAGATGATGTTCACACACCACACTGAGGTGTGTGAACATCAGCACTGATGTGCCAGTCTTAATAGATGTCTGCTTACATCAGTTGCCCCAATAATTTTCTTGGGGCCATGGTGGCGAGATGTTAACTACCTCGCCTGGTATACAGGAGGTCATGGGTTCGATCCCGACCCTGACGCCTGCTGTATATTTGGAGTCTGTATGTTTTCCCCCGTGGTCGCCTGGATTTTTCTCCGGATCCTCCGGTTTTTCCCTCCATATTTTGAATCGACGTCACGCGTTTTGAGTATTTGGCTACTAATAATTTCCACATGATGAAGATAGCCACGAGGCTGTGGTTTTTGGGGGAATTGCAGCGCCCAGCCTCGTAATAATGTCTGCTGTGATTTTTGCTTGGCACAACGACCGATGCGATAACGGATTCCAGGAGATTCAGCAGTGGACTTTACTCCCCCGATGATCGTGACGATCATGCTGATGAGGTCATGCTGACGATGCTTCAAAAGATGACGGCATTATGACAAATTAAAACATTAGTTTCTTAAACGTCGCGGACATAATTCGTGTGGAGGTACTGGGTTGGCTTTTTTTATGGAGTAAAGTAATTCATGAAATTGCTCCATTGTATGTAAAATTACACATTGCTTGATCTATCTTTCAAAATTTTACGCAAAGGTTGGAGCACATGGCCTTCAATATGAACAATGAGTGTTCAAATTCTGGGCTTGAGTCAACTCAGCCCATCATACCAATGTAGGGGGAGGGGGGTCAATAAAACGAGTTCTCCATTGTAGAAAGCAACAGTGGTTGTTCGATAGTGATAAATTGCCTTTTTTATAATTCAAATACACAATTGTTAAGTTGACTCAGGCAATGAATTGTGGCATTTTTATGCCAGTGACTGTAAACCGACAATGAGTTCAAACCCACGATCAGTTTGGTGTGGAAGCCACATTTGCTCCGTGCTCATAACCAATGTGAAGCAGGCTGGCTCAGTTCATGAACCGGGCCAATGTACTCAGCCTGGGATCCCACAGTAGCCTAACCTGGCCAAGCCAGTCCAAACTCGGCCACATGATGGTTCACTTCCTTAAAGGAACTGCACACCTCCACCTGGGCCGCCCCGAAAAACCAGTGGTGACATCACGGTGTCAACATGAAAGAGAGATATTCATGATCGCTGGCGTCTCCTGCTTAGGTCAACTTCCGTGTTATGTTTTTTTTTTACCAAAAAAGTGTAAAATTACTTTTAAAAATATATTTTTTACATTGGAGTATTTGGACTAGCACACCCCTTTAACTAACCTACTGTGAACCCAGTAACCTGAGTTTGATTCTCAGCCATGGCTAATATTGGTGGCATGTGATATCTGCACCGGTCCTGGGCTCACCCTTTGTCAACCCACACTGACCATTCTTATATTATCTTAAAGGAATGTATTTAGCGTCTGAACTAAGGCGCGTTACAAATATTTAACAACGGCGCGTATGAATGCCATGGTGGAGATGAGGTGAATGAAATAGATGAGTGGAAGCAATGGGGGCGAATTTGTGAATCTGTGACGATGCGTGAAATCGGTTATGAATGGATTGAATTGAGATTGAGTGAGAGCCGTATAATGAGAATATTAAGAGGGAACGGTAACGGTGGTGGTTATGAGGGGGAGATTAAGGGGTCGTGGGAGGAGCTAGGGAAAAATAAGTGAGTTTTGAGTGAGGAGCGGAAACTAGTGAGTGAAGGTGACTGTTTAATGTGGGAAGTTACGGTCAAACATCCCCGCCATGGCCAAAACAGCATCGGAAGGACTCCAGCAGTAGGTTGACAAAGATATTGGGATCATCTTTTTTTGTTCTTGGAGGGGCTGATGGGACCAAGGACTTGGGGGCCCACGTGGCTCTTGAAGCGTTGGGTTCAGGAAACGGGTTCCGTGCGGGGCCATGCCCAACGATGGCCTGGCGTGGCTCGGGTCAGCTCCCAGTGGCCGTGGAAACGCGGCATTCGACCTTTGTGTTTCGTTCTCAGGCCAAAGGCCGTGGACCTCGATCAGCTGTCTCGGAGGAACGTTCACGAGAGGCTGGAGTTGGCCTTCTCCCAGGCAGAGCAGCACTTGGGCGTCCCCAGAATCCTCGACGTGGAAGGTAAGCATGGCATCTAAACATGGCGGCGGCGGCGGCAGTACCAGCGTGGCTCTCTCTCGAGTCACGCAGGAGGTGTGACTGCGCCGGGAAGCACGAGCGGGAGGAGCCCCACGAGCAGGAGGAGCCCCACGAGCCGGGCCATGGGGAGGGTGGCGAATCAGACAGGAGGGGTCCCCATTTAATATCTTAGCCACCGGTCAAACAATCGATCTTTATTCATACAGCGCACTGCACATCAATAAAGGTGCATCGGCATGCTTTAGATAAAATTCAATTGACATGAATGCCCAATATGTAGAATATACAAAAAGCAAGACATTTCGTTTCAAACAGAGCAATGTATCGCAGGCAATATTCAATAAAAACACATACACATATGTCTTTATGTATATCATTAACGAACTAAAATACTCAACACATTGAGTTTTCAGGCGATGGCCCTGCTTGCTATGAGGATGGGACATTGCCCGAAACATCACCAATTATACAGGGTTCCTTGTTAGGCCACAGTGTTATTAACGAATGTGTTCAATTATTGTTTTGTTCATTGTGCTTTGTGCACCGCTGCCGATGGAGCATCACCAAATGCTACCGATATTTCATCATAAAAACGCGGGGGGATATTTTTTTTTAAAGAAACACACAGTAGAAGCAGATACCAGCTTGCCTCGTGTATTTGTACTCAATTACGGATGCCCGAAAGAGGTGTTTAATATATATTTTTTACATTTATGAAAGTGTCTGCACCTCAAATGTTTACACGGAAAGATCGTTCCATTACGATGCAGCCAGACAGCTGAAGGAACGCCAATCAAAAGTCATGCATAGGAAGCGAGGAACTACAAAGTATAATAATAGGGGCTTTTCCCCTTTTTTTCTGGCAACAAAACTCAAACCTTTTTACAAGGAACCATGTGCGCATTAACCGCAATACTTATGGTCAAAATGCAAACAAAAAATACACTCTGATAATATAGCAGTTGTTGCCAGAAAAAAGGGGAAAAACCCTATTATTATATTTTGGTACTGGCAAAGGTGGTCAAATGATGTAGAAACTACAAAGTAGTTCTGGGTCTAAAGACATCTGGCAGGGACATAGATCGGCGCCCACGTGAACCATGCTACGCTACTGGCAATGCATGTTCACACACATGCTCACACATGTCCATGCCAGGCAGGTCTTTTACACGTAACTGAAGATTGATGATGATGATGCCTAGATCCAGTGGCCAAGGTGATGGTATTAGTTAGGTATACAATAGGTCACTCTTAACAGATGGACCGCGTGAAGGCTACCATCTCCCTCTCAGGCAGGTAGTGTGCATCACTTAGCAGGTGGCATGGCCAGTATCAGTGCTTAAGGTTAAACTCACAATGGAATAAAAGCATTTCCCTTAATTTAATTCACAATATCACGATACAGAAGATGCAGTTGCTATGCATAGCAACTATATAATATCTCTTTTATGAAAATTATATTGGAGAAATACAAATATGAAGGTAAATGGAGAAAAGATTAATCATCTCACATTTGACTGCTCCGTCATCGAATGCGCTTTACTCTATTTCATTGAACGTGTGGAGGATTAATAAACTCACTCTTTAAAGTAACAGTTAGTTTTAACAACCGAGGAAAATAATCTGCAGGAAAACGAGAGAAATTTGTAATAATTCATGAGCAACAGGTTTGTTTTCAAAAGGAACTCTTTGAAGGAACACAACCGAACACAACAGAATGTCTACGTACTGAAATTTGCTGACCGCTTCAAAAATTATGAAGTCATGAGGCTGGCGAAAGCATTTTGGAAAAATTCGCCAGCAACATAAAAAACTCATATGCCTCAAGTAGAACACTATGAATCCGTGAATGTTACCTGCTATGACATGGGATCAGAAACATGGACTCTGACAAAGACCATAGATCAAAATCTGAACAGCGTGCAAAGAAACAAAAGATTTACGGTGGGAATAGACTTCGAGAAAAAAAGAGGAACACATGAATGCCATTTAAAGACATTGACAGCGAAGAAAAGTAGAAAGGGTGCTTGGGCAGGACACATCGCTCGGAGGGATGATGGCCAATGACAGGAGTGCTGACGGAACGGTAGCCAAAGGAGGAGACATGCCCGAGAGGATGACCACCGTGGAAATGGAGCAATCAGATCGGTTCATGTGCAGGAGATGGATCGATTGTATCTGAAAACTTAGAAAGGCCTCCAGGTGTTCCAGAGTGGACCATGTGTGAAACATTACAACTGATGGTGATATGATGATGAATAGGATAGATGGTAATAAAAAAAACCGTGACGTTTATACGGCCGACAAGATTTTGTCTCTTTTCGTATGACGTAAATTATTCTCTATTGTATAAGTGACCGGTGTTTTTGATTCATTTTCAGTTCTAATTCAGAGCTTTCTTGCATGTTTTAGATGTCGATGTCCCAACGCCAGACTCAAAGTCAATTATGACTTACGTCTCCTTGCTCTACACAGCTTTCCAGAAGGTATGCAACCTCACACCCTCTGGCTGTGATTTATAAAGTGCATCTCATAACAGATAGCTGCAGTGGAAAATATGAGGTAAGCCATTAATATTGATGACCCACTAAAATACTGGTGATGCGGGGCAACGCGGTGGTGAGATGTTAACTACCTCGCCTGGTGTACAGGAGGTCGTGGGTCCGATCCCGACCCTGACGCCTGCTATATATTTGGAGTCTGCGTCTCTCTCTCTCTCTCATCATCATCACGGTGGCTAGGAGATGTTCACTACCTCGCCTGTTATACAGGAGGTCGTGGGTTCGATCCCAACTCTTGACGCCTGCATATTCGGAGTTTGCATGTTCTCCCTGTGGTCGAGTGGATTTTTATCCGGGTTCTCCGGTTTTTCCCTTCCACATTTAGAATCAATTTGCGTTTAGAGCAGTGGTTCTTCTTCTTAAACTGGGTGCACGAATCCCCTGGGGGTGCGAGATGCCCTTTCTGGGAGCGTGAGACATACCAGATTTTTTTGAGAAGGTAAATTCATCGAAAACACAAATTAATCATGGCCACATAAGTACAACAACTATGTTTCGTAAAACCTATGTATTTATTAACATTATACGTTTATTCTTTTTACAATTGAGAACCAAAGGGGTCTAGGCTACAGTACAAGTTAAGGACCACTGGTTTTGAGTATTTGGCTGCTATAAATATCCACACAATGATAAAACCATTTTGGTGAGCTATGATTTGTAGCCAAGTCGCTTCTGAAAAAGAGCTGTATAGCTCGGAGAGCTTTACATGTTAAAATAAAAATAGTTAATACAGTGGTACCTCAGAGATCGAACTTAATTCGTTCCAAAACCGTGTTCGAACACCGATTTGTTCGAACACCGAATCAATTTTCCACGTAAGAATGAATGGAAATAGCATTCACACTCTTTGGTTTTATTCGGTAAAGTCACGTAGATAAAAGAAAAGAAAATAATGTGATTTAATTATTTTCTTTTATTTTGTTTTATTTTATCTACGTGACTTTACCGAATAAAACCAAAGTGTATGAATCGTTGCAGTCACGAAAGCTTCAAATCTAGGAAATAACATTAATTGGTTCCCCACCCAAGGATGCTCCTGTTATGGGCCATTTTTACACAAAGTTTACAATATTAAAATACAGTACAGTACATAAAAGCATACAAAAAACAAGAAACACAGTTATAATTAATAGACTAAATGAACATTGAACTTCACTTTACCTGTAGTAAGGAGAGTGGATGGCTTGAGTGGAAAGTGGTGAGGAAAAAGTTAACAGAACGATGTTTTTGCGGGTCTGCACTGGGCGAGGGCTACGCGTAAACTGGGTCATTCGCCTTTGTCTCGGTCATCCTGGCTACGCGTCTCGGCCCATACAGTTTCTCTCAAGTTTCGATTTAAAGCTTTCGTGACTGCAGGGATTCACCTTCTTGGTTCTTTCGGTAAAGTCACGTAGAATGGAAATAATGAAATAATACAAATAAAACATAATTAAATAAAATTCTCACGACGTTTCGGCCACAACACAAGTGGCCTTCTTCAGGTGAAGAAACAGGTCTGTCCAGAAGACAGAGCTTGAATGAACACTGTGAAGCAAGGACCGCGTCTTTTAAGCTGTGTCGGCGGAGTTAACATATGAATGAGCATGTTACCAGCCCCACCTCTGGAGCGGAGGAGGGGGGCTGGGAACACAGAAAAAGAAGAGAAACAGCCAAGGTGCGCTGCTGTGTCCTGTGTTGCATTATGACTATGCTATAAACTGGACTACTATACAATACAATATTATACCTTCCAATCTAAACTACATGGTATAACATCATATCCATAGACAAATTCCACCTTTGAATTATACAATGCGTTACTTTACACTACCCTATACTTTAGACTATAAAATATTAGATTTGTAACATTACACTGTCTTATTCTATGAACCCAACTATATACCACACTGCTGTATATTCACTATGCAATTAGGATGCTATATATTGCCTTATGAATTATGTTAAACATTACAATGTTATACTATTTATTATTATACCACATGTTATAAACCATACCATTAACCGTGGTGTGAGAGGTATTAAGAGGCAATGCCAGTGAATGGACTGCGGTCAAGGTCACCGTAAAATACAATTAATTAAGAACCAAAATGGTTTATAATATCTTTCCAATGGTTACTAAGCCAGAATCCATCTTCTCGGTTGAAATTGTCTCTGTGTTTGTATATGTGGATGGCCTCATGAACGAATCTCTCATAGTAGCCAGATGGCTTGCAGAGAACCTCCGTCTTGGAGAAGTCAATGTCATGTGAGCCCACTGAATTATAACAGTGATCTGCCACGGCTGAGGAGTTCGTCCTACCGTGTTTCAGGTCTGCTTTATGTTCACGGATGCGGTCCGAGATATGTCGTTTGGTTTCTCCAATGTAGCTGCTACTACAGAGGCACTTTAGTTTGTAAACGCCCGGGTACTGTATGTCTGGAACCACATCTTTTACAGATGGAACCAGATCACGGATTGTATGTACTGTGTTGAATCGGACCTGGATCTTGTGTTTATTTAGGATTTTGTAGATCTTTTTTGTGACCCCCGCAATGTAGGGTAAGGTGATGGTTTTGAATGGCTCCTCAAGAGGATCTTTCTTCATGACTCGAGTGATGGCTTTGCGGATTCTGTAGTCGGAGTAACCATTAGCCTTGAGAGCTTGGTGTACGTGTTTGAGTTCACTGGCAATGTGTTCCTGGTCGGAAATGCATTGGGCTCTATGGTATAGAGTCTTGATGAGGGAGTTCTTCTGGGATGGATGGTGGTGGGAATCCGGTTTTAAGTAAGCATCCATATGGGTAGCTTTCCTGTAGACAGAGTGGCTCATTGAACCATCAGGTCTCCTTTTAATTAAGACATCCAAAAAGGGTAGCTTGCCTTCTTTTTTGACCTCCATGGTAAATCTGATGGCTGGGTGTATGGAATTGATGTGGTCGAGGAATTGGTCTAGAGCAGGCCGGCCATGTGGCCAGATGACAAAAGTGTCATCCACATACCTCTTCCATAAGGTTGGGCGCAGAGTGGCGGTCTGGATGGCGTCAGTCTCAAATTTCTTCAACGAAAACTGTTTAGATTGATCAATTAATGCTGCCAGGCCACCAAGATTATACGGCTTACCAAAAATACATAAAGTAGATATACCCCTTCGTCCCATCGTCTCTACTATCAACTCCCCCACCTACAAACTGGCTCGTTTTTTGTCTGAAATCCTGCGTCCTTTCACTGGAAAAACCACCTCTGCGGTACAAAATTCTACTCACCTGGTATCGACAATCAAGGGTATTTCCCTGTCCCCAGACGACCTGCTTGTCAGTTTTGATGTAGTTTCCTTATTCACCAAGGTTCCTGTACCTGACACCATCGCAATCATTGAAGACTTGGTTCATCAAGGACTAAACACTGAGGTACCCCCCTGGTGAGACACTGTTTAACCAATACATACTTCACTTGGAATGGAACTTTCTACAAACAAACTGAGGGCACCCCAATGGGCTCCCCCCTATCTCCGGTTATAGCTAACATCTTCATGGAGAAATTTGAGACTGACGCCATCCAGACTGCCACTCTGCGCCCAACCTTATGGAAGAGGTATGTGGATGACACTTTTGTCATCTGGCCACATGGCCGGCCTGCTCTAGACCAATTTTTCGACCACATCAATTCCATACACCCAGCCATCAGATTTACCATGGAAGTCGAAAAAGATGGCAAGCTACCTTTTTTGGATGTCCTAATAAAAAAGAGACCTGATGGTTCAATGAGCCACTCTGTCTACAGGAAAGCTATCCATACGGATGCTTACTTAAAACCGGATTCCCACCACCATTCATCCCAGAAGAACTCCCTCATCAAGACTCTATACCATAGAGCCCAATGCATTTCCGACCAGGAACACATTGTCAGTGAACTCAAACACGTACACCAAGCTCTCAAGGCTAATGGTTACTCCGACTACACAATCCGCAAAGCCATCACTCCAGTCATGAAGAAAGATCCTCTTGAGGAGCCATTCAAAACCATCACCTTACCCTACATTGCGGGGGTCACAAAAAAGATCTCTAAAATCCTGAATAAACACAAGATCCAGGTCCGATTCAACACAGTACATAAAATCCGTGATCTGGTTCCATCTGTAAAAGATGTGGTTCCAGACATAGAGTACCTGGGCGTTTACAAACTAAAGTGCCTCTGGTAGCAGCTACATTGGAGAAACCAAACGACATATCTCAGACCGCATCCGTGAACATAAAGCAGACTTGAAACATGGTAAGGACGAACTCCTCAGCCATGGCAGATCACTGTTATAATTCAGTGGGCTCAAATGACATTAACTTCTCCAAGACGGAGGTTCTCTGCAAGCCATCCGGCTACCAGGAAATATTCGTTCATGAGGCCATCCACATATACAAACACAGAGACAATTTCAACCGAGAAGATGGATTCTGGCTTAGTAACCATTGGAAAGATGTTATAAACCATTTCGGTTCTTAATTGATTGTATTTTACGGTGACCTTCAAACCGCAGTCCATTCACTGGCATTGCCTCTTAATACCTCTCACACCACGGTTAATGGTATGGTTTATAACATGTGGTATAATAATAAATAGTATAACATTGTAATGTTTAACATAATTCATAAGGCAATATATAGCATCCTAATTGCATAGTGATTATACAGCAGTGTGGTATATCGTTGGGTTCATAGAATAAGACAGTGTAATGTTCCAAGTTTAATATTTTATAGTCTAAAGTATAGGGTAGTGTAAAGTAACGCATTGTATAATTCAAAGGTGGAATTTGTCTATGGATATGATGTTATACCATGTAGTTTAGATTGGAAGGTATAATATTGTATTGTATATTAGTCCAGTTTATAGCATAGTCATAATGCAACACAGGACACAGCAGCGCACCTTGGCTGTTTCTCTTCTTTTTCTGTGTTCCCAGCCCCCCTCCTCCGCTCCAGAGGTGGGGCTGGTAACATGCTCATTCATATGTTAACTCCGCCCACACAGCTTAAAAGACGCGGTCCTTGCTTCACAGTGTTCATTCAAGTTCTGTCTTCTGGACTGACCTGTTTCTTCACCACTTGTGTTGTGGCCGAAACGTAGTGAGAATTTTATTTTATTAAGTTTTATTTTTATTATTTTATTTCCATTCTACGTGACTTTACCCGAAAGAACCAAGAAGATTCTTTCAAGTTGTTCGACCTCCGAATTTTTGTTCGATGTCCGGGGCAAAAAATGGCCGAAAATTTTGTTTGATCACCGAATTGTTCGAGTTCTGGGGCATTCGTTCCATCTCCGAGGTTCTACTGTAGTTTACAAAAACTAAAATTGTATTCAAATCCTCTGCATGACTTCCACTTATTCGATCCTTTGATACTTTCCCGATCCACTTTGTCTAACCTCATCAGTTCGGTTTGCTTACATCATTTAATTACAAGTAAGTCAAAGTTATTGATATTTTGCATTTATGACACTTGTGTAAGCCACCGATCCGTGAATCTTCATCCATGCCATCATATATCTGCTCTGTTGCTCTGTAACATATAAAGCTGTTGCTTTCACAATATTCAATCACCTGTTGGAAAGAGAGTAAGAGGATCATAAAATAATAAATGGGGAATGTATAACCCTGTACATAGCACATGGATCATAAATAAAACGTACCATTTATAACTTCCATTCCTTGCAAGTCAGAATGTACCGCGGTGGCGAGTTGTTATCTCCCTCGCCTGGTATACAGAAGGTCGTGGGCTTGGTCCCGTTTTTTCCCTCCAGATTTAGAAACGTGCGTTTAGATCATTTGGTTGCTATACATTTCCACGTGATTAGCCACTCTATTAAGCTAATATTTGTCGCCAACTCAGTGGGCTTCATCTGGTAAATAAAATAGTAGTAAATAATAGTTCACCAGGGTTAATTAGTATTGGGTCATCTCCAAAAGGTGTTTTCACCCCGAGCGAGATAGTGGAGTCAGTTGAACGAGGTACTTAGTATGACAAGCAAACATATTAATAAATTGTTTTGTGATGTATTTGCAGAAAATCACAGAGGAAGAGGCTGCAAGAAGTGCAAGTACCAAAGGACTCAGCTTGTCAGAAGTTGAAGTTATTTTAAAAAACACAAAACAGAAGGTGGGTTCCAAAGCGGAACCCAAGTCCCTGTGGGATCTGCTCCACTCGGAATATTTCAGTGAAGACGATAGACGCAAACTCATTGAGGAATTCCGGCTGGGAAAGCTGACACTCGAAAAGATGTCTGAAGCCATCTTGAAGAATGTGCAGATGAAGCAGAGAGAAAATGTCAAGTTCAGAGGCCTTAGGCGAGAGGTGTCGCTCAAGCTTCTTGTGGACTCGCACATTGTGGACGACAAAACAGCGAACGAGGTTGTTGAAGGCTCAAAATCCGTTTCTGAAATCACCAAAACCATCGACCGGTACTTAGGAAGTTCTAAGAGCATTGCTGGGCTGTACATCGAAAAAACCCAAGAAAAGATTCCACTTTACAAAGCCATGGTGAAGAGAATGTTACGCCCAGGGACCACTCTGGAACTCTTGGAGGCACAAGCTGCCACTGGCTTCTTGATAGACCCAGTGAATGACCTCAAGATGTCTGTGGAGGATGCCGTGGACAAGGGGCTCGTAGGGTACGATTTTAAGGATAAGCTTATGTCTGCAGAGCGTGCGGTGACAGGTTACACGGACCCGGTTACTAAGAAAACTATTTCCCTGTTCCAAGCGATGGATAAAGATCTAATACTTAAGAGCCACGGCATCCGCCTTTTGGAAGCTCAAATCGCCACAGGTGGAATCATTGACCCGCAGGCCAGCCATCGTCTTCCAGTGGAAGTGGCCTACAGCCGAGGACTGTTTGATGAGGAGATGAACCAAATATTGTCCGACCCCAATGATGACACTAAGGGATTTTTTGATCCAAACACTGAAGAGAACCTCACTTATTTAGAATTGATGCAACGTTGCATCACTGACCCTGACACAGGTTTATGCTTGCTACCTTTGAAGGAAAAAGGTAACAAGTTTGGGATTGTCAGTTCAGGTGATGGTCTGAAACTAATCCAATCAAACATTGTTCAAAGTGCCCAGATCGAAACTTCTTCCCATACCACAACGATAAAAATAACTACAATCACATTAACAGAAGAGGAAGTGTGGAAACAACTTCAAAATGCATATATTGACATATCCTTTGGGAAGTTTTCTGGAAAGAAGCTGTCAATTAAAGAGTTATTTGAAACAGATCTCATCGATGAAGCCACGAAAAGGAAACTACTAGACGACTTCAGATCTGGCAAAATTTCATTTGAGAAACTAATGATCATGATTACTGAAATAATTGAGCGACAAAAGCAAAGTCAAAAGGGTAGAAGTATTTCATTTAAGGGGCTGCGAAAGCCAGTGTCTGTAGAAGAACTGGTCAAATCAAAACTCTTGGACAGTAAAACGGTAGAGCAGTTGATGCAAGGCCTAAAATCAGAGGAAGAAGTTAGGCGTTCGATACAAAACTACCTTGGCGGATCAACTGCTATTGCCGGAGTTTACATTGAAGCAACAAAGGAAAAAATGTCCATATACAATGCCTTGAAGAAGGGATTTTTGAGGCCAGGAACCAGTTTGGTTTTGCTGGAAGCACAGGCAGCTACAGGATTCATTGTTGATCCCATCAACAACCTCAAACTGTCAGTGGATGAGGCAGTGGAACAGAAAGTAGTGGGATGGGATTACAAAGACAAACTCCTTTCAGCAGAGCGAGCCGTCACTGGGTACACAGATCCATACTCTAAAGAAACAATCTCACTGTTCCAGGCCATGAAGAAGGAACTCATCTTGAAAGATCATGGCATCCGGCTCTTGGAAGCTCAAATCGCTACTGGTGGCATCATTGACCCGCAGGCCAGCCATCGTCTTCCAGTGGAAGTGGCCTACAGCCGAGGACTGTTTGATGAGGAGATGAACCAAATATTGTCCGACCCCAATGATGACACTAAAGGTTTCTTTGATCCAAACACTCAGGAGAACCTCACGTATTTAGACCTCAAGAATCGCTGCATCACCGAACCAGAGACTGGACTGTGTTTGCTGCCAATTAAAGACAAGAACTCAAAAACAACGACACTCATTGTCAGCAGTGAAACCGTGCAGACTGACAGTCAAGGAAAAAATAAATCCAATAATGGTGTAGATCTTAAGATGGAGAAATCTGAAGTGGTATCAAGTGGGGTCCCACGTATTGTCCAGGAAAGTGAAATGTTGGACACGTTCACAAAGTCAACGGTTACGATCAAGAGTGGAAAATTTGCCAACAGAAAAATGTCTATACTGGAAATATTTGAGACTGATCTGGTTGACAAAGAAAGGAAAGAGAAATTAATAAATGATTATAAAACTGGAAAGATTTCTCAGGAGATTTTGCTCATCATGATAATTGAAATAATTGAGACAGAGAGAATGAGTGAAAAAATGAAAAACATGAAATTTAAAGGACTACGAAAGCAGGTGACATTGGATGAGCTGTTCAAGTCAAAAATTGTGGACATGAAAACCGTCCAACAACTGGATGATGGTGAGAAAACTCAGGATGAAGTGGGAAGTTCTATACTAAACTATCTAGAAGGATCAACTGCTATTGCTGGCCTATACATTGAAGCAACCAAAGAAAAAATGTCTATATACAATGCCTTGAAGAAGGGTTATTTGAGGCCAGGAACCAGCTTGGTTTTGCTAGAAGCGCAGGCAGCTACAGGGTTCATTGTTGATCCCATCAACAACTTGAAACTGTCAGTGGATGAAGCGGTGGAACAGAAAGTAGTGGGATGGGAATACAAAGACAAACTCCTTTCAGCAGAGCGAGCTGTCACTGGGTACACTGATCCGTACTCTAAAGAAACACTTTCACTCTTCCAGGCCATGAAAAAGGAACTCATCTTAAAAGACCATGGGATCCGCCTCCTGGAAGCTCAAATCGCCACAGGCGGCATCATCGACCCGCAAGCCAGCCATCGTCTTCCGGTGGAAGTGGCCTACAGCAGAGGACTGTTTGATGAGGAAATGAACCAAATATTGGCCGATCCCAGTGATGACACCAAGGGCTTTTTTGATCCAAACACTGAAGAGAACCTCACATATTTAGATCTCAAGCAGCGCTGCATCACTGACCCTGACACAGGTCTATGCCTGCTATCTCTGAAGGAAAAACGAACCAAGTTTGGGAACGTCAGTTCAAGTGATGTTCCAAAAATAGTTGAATCAAAGACTGTTCAGAGTGCTCAGATTGGAACATCATCCCAAACTACAACAATTACAACGACCACTACGACCACACTTACAGAAGTAGAAATTTGGAACAAACTTCAAAATAAATATATTGAAATATCCTTTGGGAAGTTCTCTGGAAAGAAGCTGTCACTAAAAGAGTTATTTGAAACAGATCTCATTGATGAAGCAACGAAAAAGCAACTACTAGACGACTTCAGATCTGGCAAAATTTCATTTGAGAAACTAATTATCACAATTACTGAAATAATTGAACGACAGAGGCAAAGTCAAAAGGGTAGAAGCATTTCATTTAAGGGGCTGCGAAAGCCAGTGTCTGTAGAAGAACTAGTCAAATCAAAACTCTTGGACAGTAAAACAGTAGAGGAGTTGATGCAAGGCCTAAAATCAGAAGAAGAAGTTAGGCGTTCGATACAAAACTACCTTGGCGGATCAACTGCTATTGCCGGAGTTTACATTGAAGCAACAAAGGAAAAAATGTCCATATACAATGCCTTGAAGAAGGGATTTTTGAGGCCAGGAACCAGTTTGGTTTTGCTGGAAGCACAGGCAGCTACAGGATTCATTGTTGATCCCATCAACAACCTCAAACTGTCAGTGGATGAGGCAGTGGAACAGAAAGTAGTGGGATGGGATTACAAAGACAAACTCCTTTCAGCAGAGCGAGCCGTCACTGGGTACACAAATCCATACTCTAAAGAAACAATCTCACTGTTCCAGGCCATGAAGAAGGAACTCATCTTGAAAGATCATGGCATCCGGCTCTTGGAAGCTCAAATCGCTACTGGTGGCATCATTGACCCGGAGGCCAGCCATCGTCTTCCAGTGGAAGTGGCCTATAGCCGAGGACTGTTTGATGAGGAGATGAACCAAATATTGTCCGACCCCAATGATGACACTAAAGGTTTCTTTGATCCAAACACTCAGGAGAACCTCACGTATTTAGACCTCAAGAATCGCTGCATCACCGAACCAGAGACTGGACTGTGTTTGTTGCCAATTAAAGACAAGAACTCAAAAACGACACTCATTGTCAGCAGTGAAACCGTGCAGACTGACAGTCAAGGAAAAAATAAATCCAATAATGGTGTAGATCTTAAGATGGAGAAATCTGAAGTGGTATCAAGTGGGGTCCCACGTATTGTCCAGGAAAGTGAAATGTTGGACACGTTCACAAAGTCAACGGTTACGATCAAGAGTGGAAAATTTGCCAACAGAAAAATGTCTATACTGGAAATATTTGAGACTGATCTGGTTGACAAAGAAAGGAAAGAGAAATTAATAAATGATTATAAAACTGGAAAGATTTCTCAGGAGATTTTGCTCATCATGATAATTGAAATAATTGAGACAGAGAGAATGAGTGAAAAAATGAAAAACATGAAATTTAAAGGCTTACGAAAGCAGGTGACATTGGATGAGCTGTTCAAGTCAAAAATTGTGGACATGAAAACCGTCCAACAACTGGATGATGGTGAGAAAACTCAGGATGAAGTGGGAAGTTCTATACTAAACTATCTAGAAGGATCAACTGCTATTGCTGGACTATACATTGAAGCAACCAAAGAAAAAATGTCCATATACAATGCCTTGAAGAAGGGTTATTTGAGGCCAGGAACCAGCTTGGTTTTGCTAGAAGCGCAGGCAGCTACAGGGTTCATTGTTGATCCCATCAACAACTTGAAACTGTCAGTGGATGAAGCGGTGGAACAGAAAGTAGTGGGATGGGAATACAAAGACAAACTCCTTTCAGCAGAGCGAGCTGTCACTGGGTACACTGATCCGTACTCTAAAGAAACACTTTCACTCTTCCAGGCCATGAAAAAGGAACTCATCTTAAAAGACCATGGGATCCGCCTCCTGGAAGCTCAAATCGCCACAGGCGGCATCATCGACCCGCAAGCCAGCCATCGTCTTCCGGTGGAAGTGGCCTACAGCAGAGGACTGTTTGATGAGGAAATGAACCAAATATTGGCCGACCCCAGTGATGACACCAAGGGCTTTTTTGATCCAAACACTGAAGAGAACCTCACATATTTAGATCTCAAGCAGCGCTGCATCACTGACCCTGACACAGGTCTATGCCTGCTATCTCTGAAGGAAAAACGAACCAAGTTTGGGAACGTCAGTTCAGGTGATGTTCCAAAAATAGTTGAATCAAAGACTGTTCAGAGTGCTCAGATTGGAACATCGTCCCAAACTACAACAATTACAACGACCACTACGACCACACTTACAGAAGTAGAAATTTGGAACAAACTTCAAAATAAATATATTGAAATATCCTTTGGGAAGTTCTCTGGAAAGAAGCTGTCACTAAAAGAGTTATTTGAAACAGATCTCATTGATGAAGCAACGAAAAAGCAACTACTAGACGACTTCAGATCAGGCAAAATTTCGTTTGAGAAACTAATGATCACAATTACTGAAATAATTGAACGACAGAGGCAAAGTCAAAAGGGTAGAAGCATTTCATTTAAGGGGCTGCGAAAGCCAGTGTCTGTAGAAGAACTGGTCAAATCAAAACTCTTGGACAGTAAAACGGTAGAGCAGTTGATGCAAGGCCTAAAATCAGAGGAAGAAGTTAGGCATTCGATACAAAACTACCTTGGCGGATCAACTGCTATTGCCGGAGTTTACATTGAAGCAACAAAGGAAAAAATGTCCATATACAATGCCTTGAAGAAGGGATTTTTGAGGCCAGGAACCAGTTTTGGTTTTGCTGGAAGCACAGGCAGCTACAGGATTCATTGTTGATCCCATCAACAACCTCAAACTGTCAGTGGATGAGGCAGTGGAACAGAAAGTAGTGGGATGGGATTACAAAGACAAACTCCTTTCAGCAGAGCGAGCCGTCACTGGGTACACAAATCCATACTCTAAAGAAACAATCTCACTGTTCCAGGCCATGAAGAAGGAACTCATCTTGAAAGATCATGGCATCCGGCTCTTGGAAGCTCAAATCGCTACTGGTGGCATCATTGACCCGGAGGCCAGCCATCGTCTTCCAGTGGAAGTGGCCTATAGCCGAGGACTGTTTGATGAGGAGATGAACCAAATATTGTCCGACCCCAATGATGACACTAAAGGTTTCTTTGATCCAAACACTCAGGAGAACCTCACGTATTTAGACCTCAAGAATCGCTGCATCACTGAACCAGAGACTGGACTGTGTTTGCTGCCAATTAAAGACAAGAACTCAAAAACAACGACACTCATTGTCAGCAGTGAAACCGTGCAGACTGACAGTCAAGGAAAAAATAAATCCAATAATGGTGTAGATCTTAAGATGGAGAAATCTGAAGTGGTATCAAGTGGGGTCCCACGTATTGTCCAGGAAAGTGAAATGTTGGACACGTTCACAAAGTCAACGGTTACGATCAAGAGTGGAAAATTTGCCAACAGAAAAATGTCTATACTGGAAATATTTGAGACTGATCTGGTTGACAAAGAAAGGAAAGAGAAATTAATAAATGATTATAAAACTGGAAAGATTTCTCAGGAGATTTTGCTCATCATGATAATTGAAATAATTGAGACAGAGAGAATGAGTGAAAAAATGAAAAACATGAAATTTAAAGGATTACGAAAGCAGGTGACATTGGATGAGCTGTTCAAGTCAAAAATTGTGGACATGAAAACCGTCCAAACAACTGGATGATGGTGAGAAAACTCAGGATGAAGTGGGAAGTTCTATACTAAACTATCTAGAAGGATCAACTGCTATTGCTGGACTATACATTGAAGCAACCAAAGAAAAAATGTCCATATACAATGCCTTGAAGAAGGGTTATTTGAGGCCAGGAACCAGCTTGGTTTTGCTAGAAGCGCAGGCAGCTACAGGGTTCATTGTTGATCCCATCAACAACTTGAAACTGTCAGTGGATGAAGCGGTGGAACAGAAAGTAGTGGGATGGGAATACAAAGACAAACTCCTTTCAGCAGAGCGAGCTGTCACTGGGTACACTGATCCGTACTCTAAAGAAACACTTTCACTCTTCCAGGCCATGAAAAAGGAACTCATCTTAAAAGACCATGGGATCCGCCTCCTGGAAGCTCAAATCGCCACAGGCGGCATCATCGACCCGCAAGCCAGCCATCGTCTTCCGGTGGAAGTGGCCTACAGCAGAGGACTGTTTGATGAGGAAATGAACCAAATATTGGCCGATCCCAGTGATGACACCAAGGGCTTTTTGATCCAAACACTGAAGAGAACCTCACATATTTAGATCTCAAAGCAGCGCTGCATCACTGACCCTGACACAGGTCTATGCCTGCTATCTCTGAAGGAAAAACGAACCAAGTTTGGGAACGTCAGTTCAAGTGATGTTCCAAAAATAGTTGAATCAAAGACTGTTCAGAGTGCTCAGATTGGAACATCATCCCAAACTACAACAATTACAACTACCACTACGACCACACTTACAGAAGTAGAAATTTGGAACAAACTTCAAAATAAATATATTGAAATATCCTTTGGGAAGTTCTCTGGAAAGAAGCTGTCACTAAAAGAGTTATTTGAAACAGATCTCATTGATGAAGCAACGAAAAAGCAACTACTAGACGACTTCAGATCTGGCAAAATTTCATTTGAGAAACTAATTATCACAATTACTGAAATAATTGAACGACAGAGGCAAAGTCAAAAGGGTAGAAGCATTTCATTTAAGGGGCTGAGAAAGCCAGTGTCTGTAGAAGAACTAGTCAAATCAAAACTCTTGGACAGTAAAACAGTAGAGGAGTTGATGCAAGGCCTAAAATCAGAAGAAGAAGTTAGGCGTTCGATACAAAACTACCTTGGCGGATCAACTGCTATTGCCGGAGTTTACATTGAAGCAACAAAGGAAAAAATGTCCATATACAATGCCTTGAAGAAGGGATTTTGAGGCCAGGAACCAGTTTGGTTTTGCTGGAAGCACAGGCAGCTACAGGATTCATTGTTGATCCCATCAACAACCTCAAACTGTCAGTGGATGAGGCAGTGGAACAGAAAGTAGTGGGATGGGATTACAAAGACAAACTCCTTTCAGCAGAGCGAGCCGTCACTGGGTACACAAATCCATACTCTAAAGAAACAATCTCACTGTTCCAGGCCATGAAGAAGGAACTCATCTTGAAAGATCATGGCATCCGGCTCTTGGAAGCTCAAATCGCTACTGGTGGCATCATTGACCCGGAGGCCAGCCATCGTCTTCCAGTGGAAGTGGCCTATAGCCGAGGACTGTTTGATGAGGAGATGAACCAAATATTGTCCGACCCCAATGATGACACTAAAGGTTTCTTTGATCCAAACACTCAGGAGAACCTCACGTATTTAGACCTCAAGAATCGCTGCATCACTGAACCAGAGACTGGACTGTGTTTGCTGCCAATTAAAGACAAGAACTCAAAAACAACGACACTCATTGTCAGCAGTGAAACCGTGCAGACTGACAGTCAAGGAAAAAATAAATCCAATAATGGTGTAGATCTTAAGATGGAGAAATCTGAAGTGGTATCAAGTGGGGTCCCACGTATTGTCCAGGAAAGTGAAATGTTGGACACGTTCACAAAGTCAACGGTTACGATCAAGAGTGGAAAATTTGCCAACAGAAAAATGTCTATACTGGAAATATTTGAGACTGATCTGGTTGACAAAGAAAGGAAAGAGAAATTAATAAATGATTATAAAACTGGAAAGATTTCTCAGGAGATTTTGCTCATCATGATAATTGAAATAATTGAGACAGAGAGAATGAGTGAAAAAATGAAAAACATGAAATTTAAAGGCTTACGAAAGCAGGTGACATTGGATGAGCTGTTCAAGTCAAAAATTGTGGACATGAAAACCGTCCAACAACTGGATGATGGTGAGAAAACTCAGGATGAAGTGGGAAGTTCTATACTAAACTATCTAGAAGGATCAACTGCTATTGCTGGACTATACATTGAAGCAACCAAAGAAAAAATGTCCATATACAATGCCTTGAAGAAGGGTTATTTGAGGCCAGGAACCAGCTTGGTTTTGCTAGAAGCGCAGGCAGCTACAGGGTTCATTGTTGATCCCATCAACAACTTGAAACTGTCAGTGGATGAAGCGGTGGAACAGAAAGTAGTGGATGGGAATACAAAGACAAACTCCTTTCAGCAGAGCGAGCTGTCACTGGGTACACTGATCCGTACTCTAAAGAAACACTTTCACTCTTCCAGGCCATGAAAAAGGAACTCATCTTAAAAGACCATGGGATCCGCCTCCTGGAAGCTCAAATCGCCACAGGCGGCATCATCGACCCGCAAGCCAGCCATCGTCTTCCGGTGGAAGTGGCCTACAGCAGAGGACTGTTTGATGAGGAAATGAACCAAATATTGGCTGACCCCAGTGATGACACCAAGGGCTTTTTTGATCCAAACACTGAAGAGAACCTCACATATTTAGATCTCAAGCAGCGCTGCATCACTGACCCTGACACAGGTCTATGCCTGCTATCTCTGAAGGAAAAACGAACCAAGTTTGGGAACGTCAGTTCAGGTGATGTTCCAACAATAGTTGAATCAAAGACTGTTCAGAGTGCTCAGATTGGAACATCGTCCCAAACTACAACAATTACAACGACCACTACGACCACACTTACAGAAGTAGAAATTTGGAACAAACTTCAAAATAAATATATTGAAATATCCTTTGGGAAGTTCTCTGGAAAGAAGCTGTCACTAAAAGAGTTATTTGAAACAGATCTCATTGATGAAGCAACGAAAAAGCAACTACTAGACGACTTCAGATCTGGCAAAATTTCATTTGAAAAACTAATTATCACAATTACTGAAATAATTGAACGACAGAGGCAAAGTCAAAAGGGTAGAAGCATTTCATTTAAGGGGCTGCGAAAGCCAGTGTCTGTAGAAGAACTGGTCAAATCAAAACTCTTGGACAGTAAAACGGTAGAGCAGTTGATGCAAGGCCTAAAATCAGAGGAAGAAGTTAGGCGTTCGATACAAAACTACCTTGGCGGATCAACTGCTATTGCCGGAGTTTACATTGAAGCAACAAAGGAAAAAATGTCCATATACAATGCCTTGAAGAAGGGATTTTTGAGGCCAGGAACCAGTTTGGTTTTGCTGGAAGCACAGGCAGCTACAGGATTCATTGTTGATCCCATCAACAACCTCAAACTGTCAGTGGATGAGGCAGTGGAACAGAAAGTAGTGGGATGGGATTACAAAGACAAACTCCTTTCAGCAGAGCGAGCCGTCACTGGGTACACAGATCCATACTCTAAAGAAACAATCTCACTGTTCCAGGCCATGAAGAAGGAACTCATCTTGAAAGATCATGGCATCCGGCTCTTGGAAGCTCAAATCGCTACTGGTGGCATCATTGACCCGCAGGCCAGCCATCGTCTTCCAGTGGAAGTGGCCTACAGCCGAGGACTGTTTGATGAGGAGATGAACCAAATATTGTCCGACCCCAATGATGACACTAAAGGTTTCTTTGATCCAAACACTCAGGAGAACCTCACGTATTTAGACCTCAAGAATCGCTGCATCACCGAACCAGAGACTGGACTGTGTTTGCTGCCAATTAAAGACAAGAACTCAAAAACAACGACACTCATTGTAAGCAGTGAAACCGTGCAGACTGACAGTCAAGGAAAAAATAAATCCAATAATGGTGTAGATCTTAAGATGGAGAAATCTGAAGTGGTATCAAGTGGGGTCCCACGTATTGTCCAGGAAAGTGAAATGTTGGACACGTTCACAAAGTCAACGGTTACGATCAAGAGTGGAAAATTTGCCAACAGAAAAATGTCTATACTGGAAATATTTGAGACTGATCTGGTTGACAAAGAAAGGAAAGAGAAATTAATAAATGATTATAAAACTGGAAAGATTTCTCAGGAGATTTTGCTCATCATGATAATTGAAATAATTGAGACAGAGAGAATGAGTGAAAAAATGAAAAACATGAAATTTAAAGGATTACGAAAGCAGGTGACATTGGATGAGCTGTTCAAGTCAAAAATTGTGGACATGAAAACCGTCCAACAACTGGATGATGGTGAGAAAACTCAGGATGAAGTGGGAAGTTCTATACTAAACTATCTAGAAGGATCAACTGCTATAGCTGGACTATACATTGAAGCAACCAAAGAAAAAATGTCCATATACAATGCCTTGAAGAAGGGTTATTTGAGGCCAGGAACCAGCTTGGTTTTGCTAGAAGCGCAGGCAGCTACAGGGTTCATTGTTGATCCCATCAACAACTTGAAACTGTCAGTGGATGAAGCGGTGGAACAGAAAGTAGTGGGATGGGAATACAAAGACAAACTCCTTTCAGCAGAGCGAGCTGTCACTGGGTACACTGATCCGTACTCTAAAGAAACACTTTCACTCTTCCAGGCCATGAAAAAGGAACTCATCTTAAAAGACCATGGGATCCGCCTCCTGGAAGCTCAAATCGCCACAGGCGGCATCATCGACCCGCAAGCCAGCCATCGTCTTCCGGTGGAAGTGGCCTACAGCAGAGGACTGTTTGATGAGGAAATGAACCAAATATTGGCCGACCCCAGTGATGACACCAAGGGCTTTTTTGATCCAAACACTGAAGAGAACCTCACATATTTAGATCTCAAGCAGCGCTGCATCACTGACCCTGACACAGGTCTATGCCTGCTATCTCTGAAGGAAAAACGAACCAAGTTTGGGAACGTCAGTTCAGGTGATGTTCCAAAAATAGTTGAATCAAAGACTGTTCAGAGTGCTCAGATTGGAACATCGTCCCAAACTACAACAATTACAACGACCACTACGACCACACTTACAGAAGTAGAAATTTGGAACAAACTTCAAAATAAATATATTGAAATATCCTTTGGGAAGTTCTCTGGAAAGAAGCTGTCACTAAAAGAGTTATTTGAAACAGATCTCATTGATGAAGCAACGAAAAAGCAACTACTAGACGACTTCAGATCTGGCAAAATTTCATTTGAAAAACTAATTATCACAATTACTGAAATAATTGAACGACAGAGGCAAAGTCAAAAGGGTAGAAGCATTTCATTTAAGGGGCTGCGAAAGCCAGTGTCTGTAGAAGAACTGGTCAAATCAAAACTCTTGGACAGTAAAACGGTAGAGCAGTTGATGCAAGGCCTAAAATCAGAGGAAGAAGTTAGGCGTTCGATACAAAACTACCTTGGCGGATCAACTGCTATTGCCGGAGTTTACATTGAAGCAACAAAGGAAAAAATGTCCATATACAATGCCTTGAAGAAGGGATTTTTGAGGCCAGGAACCAGTTTGGTTTTGCTGGAAGCACAGGCAGCTACAGGATTCATTGTTGATCCCATCAACAACCTCAAACTGTCAGTGGATGAGGCAGTGGAACAGAAAGTAGTGGGGTGGGATTACAAAGACAAACTCCTTTCAGCAGAGCGAGCCGTCACTGGGTACAATGATCCGTACTCTAAGGAAACAATATCACTCTTCCAAGCTATGAAGAAGGGCCTCATCTTGAAAGACCATGGCATCCGCCTACTGGAAGCTCAAATCGCCACGGGCGGCATCATCGACCCAGAGGCCAGCCACCGTCTTCCAGTGGAAGTGGCCTACAGCAGAGGACTGTTTGATGAAGAGATGAACCAAATATTGACTGACCCCAGTGATGACACAAAGGGTTTCTTTGACCCAAACACTGAAGAAAACCTCACATATTTAGATCTTAAGCGGCGCTGCATCACCGACCCTGACACAGGTCTATGCTTGCTTCCTATTAAAGAGTTTAATGGTGTTAACCCCAAAGATTCGAAAACATCTAAAGAAATGATCATCCAGAAGACAGAAACTGTGGAAAAATATGCTGGTGGCTCTTCCTCGGAGAATGATCCATTTTTGGTGGAGTCTTCCGTAAGTTCAAATGAGGAAAGATTCATCATCATAGAATCTCAGGTGCTAGATATACTTTACAATGAAAAAATAAACATGACTTTTGGTAGATTTGCCGGTAAAAATGTTTCTCTGAAAGACATATTTGACAGTGATTTTATAGACGCAGAAATGAGAGAGAAACTCATTGATGATTACAAATCTGGTAAAATATCACTTGCGGATGTGATTGCTACTGTGACTAAGATTATTGAAGCCAAGGAACGGGCCGAGGCGAAGAAGAACCTTTGGTGCCGAGGTTTCCGCCGTCAAGTTAGCGTCGCACAACTTGTCGAGTCGCAGGTATTAGAGGACGAAGTTGCAAATCAGTTGGCCGATGGACGAACGTCTATCCAAGAAGTTACCCGTCTGGTAAAGAGGTACCTTGAAGGCACTAGCAGCATTGCAGGCCTTTACCTGGAGGAGACCAAAGAGAAGGTGTCGGTCAGTGACGCGATCCAAAGAAGAATGCTCAAGCCGGAGAGCGGCATGGCCTTACTGGAAGCACAGGCGGCGACCGGGTTCATTATCAACCCTGTAAGCAATGAAAAGCTCACGGTCCACGAGGCTGTCGAAAAAGGTGTTGTCACAAAGGAATCCCGTGATCAGCTTTTCGCAGCGGAGTGTGCCGTCACCGGTTACAAGGACCCCCACTCGGGGGGCGTCCTGTCACTATTCCAAGCCGTGAAGAAAGGCGTTGTGTCAAAAGACCACGGAATTCATCTGCTGGAGGCTCAGATCGCCACAGGTGGCATCATCGATCCACAGGCCAGCCATCGCCTCCCAATGAATGTTGCCTACAGCCGAGGGCTGTTTGACGAGGAGATGAACACAACCTTGGTTGAAGGAAAAGAATTCACCAAGGGTTTCTTTGATCCAAACACTGGAGAGAAGGTCACTTACCTGGACTTAATGAAACGCTGCATCACAGACCCCGACACGGGGCTTTACCTCTTTGTGCTGAGACAGCGCAAGCAAACGTCCACGGTCGTACAGAAACGCAAAATCATTATTGATCCCGACGTCGGCAAGGAGATGAGTGTCTACGAGGCGTATCAGAAAGGCCTCCTGGGCAAAGAGCTGTACCTCAAGCTTTCGGCAGACGAATGTGCATGGGAGGAGAGTAAGGTGACACTTCCAGACGGCACCACTTACTCTACGTTGGTCGACAAGAAATCGGGGAAATGCTATGACGTTTCGAAAGCACTGGCCGAGGATAAAATCAAGGGCGAGTTGGTGGAGAGGTACAACTCTGGCGCGATTTCAATCTTCGAATTCGCGGACAAACTCTCTGCTGCGTTAAATTCTCAGTAGGATTTGTTCAAAGTGGCCCATGGGGGACCGAGAAAACAAAACCAATACAAAGATGCAAACAACAAAGTCGCGATGGCATTCAGCGGTTATGACACAGCCAGTGAATGGGAGGACACTTTCCCCACTTTCTGTCAAATTTAGCGTTTGCACTCCACGGAGACAAATTATTTGGTCCACTCATGGTACACATTGTGTATGTATAAACGTTAAGTAGAAGACTAAAAACATTTAGAACTTGAGGCCGGTATTGCCCTGTGGGTAAAACGATTCAACCTAAGGGCTATTTTTTTATGGTGAAGAGGCCAGGGGTCCATATTTGAAATTTGGGATTTTTGGATTTACTGTATCTGGTTATAAGCATCTACTGGTAGATTTTTTTTAAGCCATTCTATAACATTAGAATGTACCGTATCACTTGCTCATTCAAATGGTTTATAAGCAATAGATGATAAGTATGCTTACTTAGATTTTAGAATGTTTTCAATAAGCTGTCAATTTTAAATTTAGGCTGTAATGTTTTTACGTCACATTCGTGTTTTATTGTGTGGCTTCAGATGTATTTTAAATGTACTGTTTATAAACAGTAGAGCAGAAAGCCGCAGAAGTTGTATTGCTACTCGCACCTGGTGTCAGGATTTAGGGTTTAGATGTAATGCTCTATTTTATCTTTCCACGTGGGTCTATGTTTCGTATATTTTTCAAAAAGTGGATTTTAATAAAGGATTAAAAAAAATGTGATGGTGTCACATGTGTTGGGGGCATCAATGCAGTGTGGATTGAACAACGTTTACCTGTGGTGTATTTGTATAGCGTGTGTACTTGGCTACTCCACACGGCGGTCCCCTTGGCTGCTCCACACGGGGTCCCATTGGCTACTTTCCTCTCAACCCCAGCGTCAAACTGTCCACACGTCCCCGTTTAAAGATGTTGCTGCTACTTGTCGAGTCGAATCTCGTTTGTGGAGGGAGCGACCCGGGTCAGCGAACAAGACGACCGGAGGAGCATAGCGACGAGGAAAAATCGATCGGAACAAACGATAAACAGGGACCATTATGACCACGATTATGTTACTACACACCTTATCAGTGCCCTACCTTATTACAGACCAATTCGGACCTCATTGGTCACCCCTTGCCCTTAGAAATGTCAACGTTCATCCTGCAAAGTCCCATAACAAGGGAGAAACAAACAAATAGACCAATTTTTTTTTTTAACTGGCTGGCTGCTCGGAGTCAAACAGATTTGATTTTTGGGGCGCATCCGGAAACTGCTTGAACCGGTTCACGGTTCAAAAGTGTTTTCAGAAACCGGTTTGAATGTTTTTGTTTGATAATTTGCATAATGTATCCCTGCGTTGCAGGCCACAATGTATGTAGAGGTACAGTCTAGGTCTTTGGTTTGCAAATTGTAGCGAACGTCCAACGTTGATAGCTTTCTTTCATCGCTTATCGTTCATGCATTGCAAGTGCTGAAGATTAGCACGTAACATAATCAACAGACGGTTAGAAATCAAACAAAGCGTTATAAATATTGCACGATGTTCATCAAACATACGGTGCTCGTCAAAATTGGCGGGAAAAATATAATGGCATTTCAGTTTTCTTGAAATGTATTTTTCCACCAGTTATTGCCGAGAGTGCTTCAAAGACCTCCGTGTCTCTCTCTCTCTGAAAGACATGGCCATGGGGATTACAAAGACGCACAGAGACACAGAGCAAGAGAAGACACAGAACACACACTGATGAAGGATGGTGGAGACGCTTAACCGGTGCGGTGTGGATGTGACAGTGGTCAATAATGATAACAGAGGGGCACCAGTGGTGTAGTAACTACATTACCGGTGGTGTAGTAACTACATTTTCAGTGTTGTAGTAACTACATTATCAGTGGTGTAGTGACTACATTATCAGTGGTGTAGTAACTACATTACCGGTGGTGTAGTAACTACATTATCGGTGGTGTAGTAACTACATTATCGGTGGTGTAGTAACTACATTATCAGTGGAGTAATAACTACATTACCGGTGGTATAGTAACTACATTATCGGTGGTATAGTAACTACATTACTGGTGGTGTAGTAACTACATTATCGGTGGTGTAGTAACGACATTATCAGTGGTGTAGTAACTACACTATCAGTGGCATAGTGACTACATTATCAGTAATGTAGTAACTACATTATTAGTGGTGTAGTAACTACATTATCAGTGGTGTAGTGACTATGTTATCAGTGGTGTAGTAACTACATTATCATTGGCGTAATGACTACATTATCAGTGGCGTAGTGACTACATTATCAGTGGCATAGTGACTACATTATCAGTGGCGTAGTAACTACATTATCAGTGGCGTAGTGACTACATTATCAGTGGCGTAGTGACTACATTATCAGTGGTGTAGTAACTACATTATCAGTGGCGTAGTGACTACATTATCAGTGGCATAGTGATTACATTATCAGTGGCGTAGTGACTACATTATCAGTGGTGTAGTAGCTACATTATCAGTGGCGTGGTGACTACATTATCAGTGGCGTAGTGACTACATTATCAGTGGCGTAGTAAATACATTAGTAACTACACTATCAGCTCATGGGATGCGGCAGTGGGTCAAGTGGGACCCCAATATTCTGATTTGTCTCGCACTGTCGCAACCGGGATATTCTATATCGCAGCTACCTCTTGCCTAATCACATCATCGGTACGCTCATGGTCTCGAACAATTAGCACTTTAGGGGCGCTCTGTCTTCGCAAAATATGTGTTGTTCTTTTACAATATTGGTGAAAACATATGGGTAGTGAGATGGTAACTACCTCACCAGGTATACGGGAGTACATGGGTTCGATTCTCACCCTGATGCCTGTATATTTGGAGTTTGCATGTCTCTCCCTCCCCGTGGTCACGCTGATTTGTCTCTGGGTCCTCCGGTTTTCCCCTCCACGTTTAGAATCAAAATCACGCGTTTAGATAATTTGGCTGCTATAAATTTCCACATGATATGCCACTCAATTGAGGTATAATTTGTGGCCAGGTCGCTTCTGAAAAAGAGCTATATAGCTCAGTGGGCCTTACCTGGTAAAAAAAAAGTTAGTTTTAGTTAGGTAGTTATATTACATGGTGGTTATCAAAGGGACCCTAACTCGTAGCTTTGGCCACCATGGCAGCCAAGGAATGGAATGTGTCTAAGAGGAACCTCCACTTAGAGATGGAGCGATGATGGATTGTTGAAATCGCTTTTATCCAGCAGCGGGTTGACAACGGCTGTTGGCAAAAACTGCGCCACTAACCCGGCGCGACCAGAGTTCGATTACCGCACGCGGCTATCATCAGTGGCGATTATCAGACCCGGTCCCGGACTTTTTCCCTAGGCCGACTCGGTCGTAACTGAGTAACCGGTGCGGTGCATCAAGATCAACACGGGAGAGACAAAGGCGACCGGGCGTGGTGCTGGGGACACTATCACCTCATCGTGCGTGGCATCGGCCTTCATAGGCGCTCGCTAACTGCACTTGCCCCAACAGTCTGTCAAGGCTATACGGGAGATCTTTGTCTGCACGTGAATTTGTGGGGAGCGTTAATGGGGGGTTATTTGACCATACTTCACCGTGCCGGCCAGCATGCGGGTTGGTGAGAGTGGGCGCAGAGCATAGAATATGTCGTGGGAGCCATGGAAGTGCAGTACAACAATGAGTTTTTGCTGCAGCTTTGCGCAGCTGCCCGCCACGTAGCCCCCCAGCAGCAGCCTATACAACCTGTTGCGTGTGGTGGTTATTACACCCGGGGGGGGGGGGTTGATTATTTGAGAGAATGATTATTCAACCTGGTTGAACAAAATTAAACCGGAACCCCAGGCTGGGGGAAATATATAAATACTAGCAGGAAGTACCCGGCGTTGCCCAGGTCTTAAAAATATTTCCAAACTACTCTTAAAAATCGAACAGCAGTGCGTATTGACTGTGGTGGCACCTGCTATGATTACAGCAATGCATACCGACTGTGGTGGTACCTGCTATCACTACAGTAGTACATGCTGACTCTATAGCAGTATCTATCGACTCTATAGCACAAAGTACTCACCTGACAGAATGGCGTGGTGAGGCCTAGTCCCGTGCAGAGCCTTCGGCCTCGCCTAGATTGTCCAGCCGGCCGAGGTGGCACCTTGGCAGGCTGGGGCTGGGCTGCTACCCCCTGACCCACCCCCCCCACCAGCCACGATCTCCCCGGCCGCTCTGCAGTAATATCTACGGCCTATAGTGGTAGCATCTAGCGACTGTATAGAAGTAATAACTGCACGCATCGGGGTGGGAGGGGCATCACACAGTGAAGAATTAACGTCAACGTTTAGTGTATTTTTATAGCATTTTTAATGCGAAAGAAAATGCCCCCCCCCCATCACTCCCATCGAAGGCGTGCGACTTGGCGTAGGCCGTCCCCCCCCACCAAAGGCGCGTGAGTTGGTACGGTCGTGCACGCGTCATAAGTGAATAAATGAATAAAATGTAAGCGCACAAAAATCGCACATTAAACTAATTTAAAGTTGATGGATGTGAAAGAGGAATAGCGCTTGCTTGCTGACCGCAGGGCTTACGGCGTGGTACCTGGCTATTATATATTTTTTATTACCTAAACCCCACCGTTGGAGAGCCAAGCGCGCGACCACACACAAACCCACACACATTTTTTTTACTTTAATATATAGACTAGCTGTACTACCCGGCTTCGCCCGGGACTTGGATCCACCACGCCCGGCCGCCTTTGTCTCCCCAGTGGTGATGTTCACACACCACAGCAGTTACTCGTTTGAGGCTGAGTGGCCCTAGGGGAAGCCCAGAACCGGATCAAATAATCGTCACCGGTGGTGGCCGTGAGCGGGAATGGAACTCGGGTGGCCGGGTTCGTAGCGCAGCGCGCTCACCACTACACTACAATGCGTTACGCTTCCACATGCCCGGGTCACGTGACAGATTTGACGTCACAGCTCACTGGCCGTGCAAAAAATAAATGCATTATTGAGCTCCCCCCCCCTAAAAAAAAGTGTATTTTTTATAATTTGTGCATGGTTTACAGTCTTGAAAGTACCCACATGGCAAATTTCAAGTTTGTTGCATGTCGGGAAGTACGCTAAACATTTTGAACAGACACATTCACAACTTTGCCTTTTATATATCGAGATAGAAGATATATTTCAGAGCTCAGAACCGGACAGCTCCGGCTCAGATAAATCGCACACTGGGTTTCCCCTTCACAACCAAATGAATACGCAGAAGCGGGCAGTCCACTTTCTCAACAACGGTGTGTGCTGAGTGGCAACTTTAATCGGACACGTGCCAATAACGACAAACATCCAAGAAACGAACCCAGTTCATGATGGCCATCGCGCGCCACCTTCCGGCCAACTTACCCAAAGTACAACACAAGTAGCCACAGCTCATTTCGATGTGTGTGTGTGGGGGGGTATATATTTTTTGTGATCCCTCTGGTGGATACCGCGTGTTGTTCGGAGTGATGTCCGACGTTTCTCTGCACGTGCTGGTAGCGTCTTCTAGAAAATTACAATTCGGGTTTCCGTAAAGTGAATAATTGAGCCGAATTTTGTTATTTAAATTCGGAGGAGGAAGAAAGCTCCCAGCGCGTGTAGCGTAAACGTCGGGCAGTCATCATGTCACATCAACAACAGCAACCACGCTTTTAGCGGTACACCCCCCCCCCCAAAAAAAAAATACACGCACACATTTGAGAAGCCACGCAGCACAACCACACAAACCTACGCGCAACACTGGGCATCGTCACCAGCCAGACACGTCGGCGCTTCAAACACGGATTCATGCGTCGATCAGGTTTGTTGTCGGTGCTGTTGTTGCTAAATGAACACTCTCGTTGTTACGCGACACGAACAATTCATGGTATTGCGTCTCGATCTCGATCACACGCGAGCGCTGGTTGGTTTTGCATATTCACTCGGAACGTATTTACACGGCTTTACGTCGCCACGTGCGTAGCGATTCGCTGTTGTTTATCTAGCCCGAAAGCTTATTAATCATCATCATTAATTAGGCTAATCACACCGAGCGCCTGGCACGTGACTAGACGGATGTTCATTGCTTCTGAGAATTAATGAATGAACACTCACACTCGGCTCGGAAGCCAAATTAACGCAAATTGGCACGCAGTCTTTTTCTCTTCGTTCGCTCCCTCCACTCTGTTCGGTCATTCGTTCGTTCGTTCTACCGGGTGCCGATATTTGCGCTTCGCGGAGGGGCACGAAGACCGGACCGGACCTCCCATCGGGTTCACCCCGAGATGGGACCTCCCCCCCATCTCCTTCGGTTCCCCCATGCCCCGATTCAGGACCTCGCTCGCAGCCTTTCTCCCTTCATTCATTCCCTCGTTCCTCCTCTCGGTTAAATTCACGGCCACAGACACAGAGAGAGACCGATCAACGGATGCCCCACGAGTGGCGTTGGGGCGAGGAGGAGTTGGGACATGTGTGGGAGGACGGTGATCGAGTTGGCGAAGGTGTCAGTGATGTTTGAGATGTTCTTTATCGCCGGGTCATCGTTCCGGTGCCACTCACGGACGACTTCTGGTACTGATGGTCGAGCAGTTTGATGGCGCGGTCCGCGTTCTCCACGTTGCGGATGAGCGTCGCCAACCTCTTCTTGAGCTTCCTCCTATCCTCGAGTGCGCAGCCGATGACCAGCGACTGGAACTTGCTGTCGAGGGGACCCGACGAGGAGGGTTCGCCGTCCGCGTGGCAGGCGCCGTGCAGCGAGGCGAGGCGCCGCTTGGCACCGTCCAGGTCGTCCCGCAGCCGTGCGGCGACGTCGTCGATGAGCGAGCTGGCCTTGCGCAGGGCCTCCTGCTGCTGGGCGTTGCGCAGCGTCTCGAGGGCCACCTCCACGGTGAGGGTGCGGCTCAGCAGCCGCTCGGCCGTGACGCTCAGCTCCTCGCGCTCGCCCGTCGACAGCGCCGCGCGGGACGGCAGGCGCACGGTGACACCGCGGGGCGACATCGGCACCCGCGGCTGGACGAGCAGAAAGCAATTCATGTCTGCGGCGGGGAGGTGGCTGCTGCGGTGGCGGCTGCGGCTGCTGATGGCGAAGATTCTTCTGCTGCTGCTGCACCTCTAGGAAGGGGAACCTCCTCCGATAGCTCGAGTGACGCAGGAAGACACCGTTGTCTCTCGCTCCTCTGCCCGAACTAGGATCTCGACTCCCATTTATACTCCTCGCTATGATGCGCCCGTCACCGCCGCCCACTCACACTCGAGTCTCGAGCGTGGGCAGGGAAAGCCCCATCCATGCCTGGCAACTGGTTCACTCCCACCCCCACTCTCTCCCCCGCCTCTCGCTATCCATCCCTCCCTCCTCCTCGTGTGTTGTATGTGTTGTTATTATCTGTTGTTCTCTGGTTGGATTATCCGATAGTGGCTGAGCGCGCACGCGTGGCTACGTCAGACCGCGCTGCAAGTGACGCACGGCAGACGCTCGATCGGCTCCCTCGGCCCGCGTGCGAGGAGGAGGGGGGAGCGATTCTCCGGCTCTCGTCCCACGCACGTGTGGGACGAGCTGCGACGATGAGCGACAAAGTGACGACGAGAGAGTGCGAGCATGAGAGAGATAGAGAGATTTCCCCGTGCGCGTTGAGACAACGTGTGAATTAGCGGGGACACGAGGAATGCGTCATCCGCAAAGCGTAGGGCCGCCTTGATGCGCGAACACTACCATAATTGGTATTTCAGATATTTTGTGTGTGTGTGTAGGGTTTATTTTTTTTCGTCCGTAACAAAAAGATATACGTGTATATTTTCTGGTGAGAAGCGGAGGCGGAATGCGGGCTCTGTGGCACGGGGAAAGCCCCTGCTTGGTATTCATGGAGAGCTTTGCTCTTTGTCCGCGTTACGCAATTTATCGGCACCACCGCAGAGGGTTTTGGTTTTGCGCAATAAAAAAATAAGCATGCGCGTGGGGCACCGCAGCTCACGCACACAGACGGGGTTCCTACCCGTCTTTGTCTCCCTGCGTCTTTGTCTGTCCCACTTTCTGCCTTCCTCGCTCTGTCCGTCGTCTTCCCCCGCGTCTCTTTCTCTCGCTGAGTCCCACCCAATCTCCATCTGTCTATTTTTCCCCGGGTATCCCCCTGTTGTCCTCCTTGTCTCTTCCCGTCTCTGTCTCTTCCTATCCGCGTCCGCATGCCTCTGTGTGGCGTGCGTCTCTCTCGCCCATCTGTGAGTGTCAGTGGGTGGCGTAGCGTGGTTGGCACGAGTCCTGGGTGCAATTAATAATTTGGGACCCGCGCTCCCAATTCCCACCCCCGTCCCCTCTTCGTAGGCCGGATGGAACCTGGGCTCCCCTCCGGGCCGAGGGACCCGGTGCAGTTACACGGACTGCACCCTCGACAGCTGACACCACTGTCTCTCTCTTCCTTCCCGCCTATCCCTCTCCCACCCTCTCGTTGTCTCCCCGTGTCCCTACACTCGACATGGCCGCGATGGATACGCGGTCGCGAACCGTCGCGAATCCTCGATAGCGGCGCGCGGTCGCGACCAACACGACTCGCGGTGGCGATGAGCGGGGCGCGAACCACCATGGCGCTTACGGCGAGAGAGAGGGGAGCGCGCGCGCGAGAGAGAGAGTGGAGCGATGCGGGGAGCGGGGCGGGGAAGAGCGTGGATCTGGGAGCGAGGGGGGCAGAGCGGAGCGCGAGGAACGGGGAGGGTTGCGGACGAAGAGCGGGGCGAGGAGGCTTGGAAGCGGAGAGCGCGGAGAGAGCGATCCGGTCACTGCTCTCCCATCTTGTTGCTCTCTCGCGATTCCACCGCGCGTTAGAGGCCCAGTGGCGGTGGTCTTCGAGTGCGCAGGCGGTGCAATTGCGTTGGGGGTGGGGGGGAAACCCACGGGCCGGAGGGGCCGAGGCACCGGCCTGCGACGAGTGGTGGATGGCGAGGAAGAATCATTCCCAGGTGCAGGGCCCATGCCGACCGCGATGCTACACCGCGAACGACGACCTCTGGGTTTTGTTCAGACTAATTGACGTTTCCGGTTACGCCGTGAACTCGCGAGGTGGGGGGGGGGGGCGGAATTGCTCCCCCCCTCCCTCCCCCGCCCCCACCTCTGCCGGGTCACATCAGAGTGGAGGCGCAAATTGAGCAAAAGCTCGCGGTGGAGTCATCGGAGACCCCTGGGTATTGGCGCCTCCACACGTGCACCGCCTCGCGGTATGACATCCGGTTTCATTCGTGGATTCATTCGCTCATTGATTCGGTGCATCGTTCGTACGCTCAATAAATCATCTATTCGCTCATTAAGTCATCCATTCATTGGTTCGCGCATTCAACAGTACCAGATTCACTCATTCACTATTGAGGCAATTGAATCGTGTATTCACTCGTTCGTTAGTTCAATGATTTAATCGTCGATTCGCTCGCTCATAACTTTGTTAGGAAGGAATCAGCTTGCTGATTCACTTATTCACACCATCTTACTGATTCACACTCACGAAGCCAAGGCATTAATTCTCTCATCCGTGTTTCCATCAATTCGATCAATTATTCATTAATTAATTCAACCGTGCATTCATTACATTTGATAATTAATTCACTCGCTCACTCATTAATTAATTCACTGTTCTAAAAGTGCGTGGGTGAAGCGAAGCGGGAGGGTAGAGTGGGATGGTGGTGGTGGTGATGATGATGCAAGGATGACGGTGGGGGGAGATGAGAGCGGGGGTTATGTGTGGAAGAGTTTAGCGGGGGGAGCAGATGGACTGGCTGGTGGGGGTTCTCAAAGACTCGTGGGGGGGTGGGGGGGGGCTCTGAGCGAGAGCCAGAGGAATGGCAGGGGGCGACAGAGCGAGAGAGGGAGGGAGAGAGCTACACGGGCAGTCGTTGGCACAGATCGAGAATCAGTCCCTTGCCCTACGGGTGTATGTGACACGGGGAATTCTGAGTTGGCGGATGCCATATACGAGAATGTTGGTAAAATAAAGGACAGGTTTTTTTTGATCAGCAGGGTCCCGCTCCCTTGCAGGGTAATTTTTTTTTAACTTATTTTCCTTGAAAGACGTTTTCAGCCAATTAATGATGGGAGTTGTGTTTCATGGAGTTGTGATTTATAGGACAAAGGAAACCGGAGCACCCTGGAAAAAACCCCACGCGCGTGCGAGGCTGGGGTGGGGGGCAACACTCTAGCCCCGTACATAACGAACACAATTATCTAGGTCGTTGGGGAGAATATAAATAACATAAATAAGCAGACAACGTCCCCTTCACGTATCCCGTCCCTCCACGTAAAAAAAGTTTTTTTAACGCCATCAGCAGCACGGCCTTCTGGGAGTGCGCCATTTTATCGGCATTTATTTTTAAGACGACAAAAATCCTGGACCCGTGTGGACACTTCGTGTCTCATCGGAAGAGTTAGGCTCCCTTGGAAACAGGACCGTGGAGGCGAGGGTAGGTGGATCGCACAAATGTTGCTCAAAACGCCCTTCTTCTTGGGCGTCGTGGAAGTGTCAAACCCTGGCTCGAGAGGCGAATGGGGTACAGAAAATGTGTACCTCACCTGCTCCATTTGTATGGGATATAGTGTTGCCCCGTCGCATAAACTGGACCTTTGTTTGCGTGCGCTCCGGTTTCCTCCTACATGTAAACACTCATTAATTAATCTATAATACCTTCATATATAGTGGATCGCAGAGCTTGGGCTAAGGCAGATTTTGGCGTTTGCTCATCACCACCTGACTGCTGGCTTCCCCGCATGTCTGTGGTTCCTCCGCGCCCCTTCGACCGTCCGTTTCTCCCTACCTCCCTCCAGTGAGCAAAACTTTTTTCGAATGCAGTATGATCGTACGGTAGCGTATTTCGCGAATTTTCGCGGGATCTACGGCCGAGGTTTGAGGGTGGGTGGGTGGGTGGGGGGCAGCCGGGACGTCACAATGAGATTGCAAGTGACGTCACCTCCGCGCACGCGTTCATGGCCGCGCGCCAGTCAGGTATCCAGCCAGACCTGAATTCAACTAGCAAAAGGGTTTTTTTCTTCAAATTTCGTATTATTGGTAACAGATTAGCCGTGCGGATTCGAGGGTGCGGTTGGTATCACGCTATAACTCGTGCCTCACAGCAACAAGGTTTCCTGGGTTCAAATCTCAACTCAGGCTGCCTTTCTGTGTGGCGTTTGTTCGTTTTCCTCCGAGTTCTCTGGTTTCTTCCCGTAGCTTAAACAAAAAAGAACGCCCCCCCCCTCCCATACAATGTAACTGGCATTGACCAAAAACATCCCGCCACTGCTTTAAGAAAACAAATCCCCTCAAATTACTCAGTTGGCATTGGTGTACACATCATAGCAACATCACCCGAATACTGCGAAACTTTAGCAGGACCCTCTTGATAACTTAATCTTGAGTCTCAGCGAAGTTTTCACGAGCAAAGAAGCGTCAAACCAGCGTCATACGATGCCCCCACCCCCAAGCCCCTTCCCCCACTCCCCCTCCCCAAATCGCTCCCCCAGCCCCCTCGCCTCCCAGACCCCACCACCCCTTCAATCATCGCTGCTCATCACGCTACTAACGCGAGCGTGATTATATAATTGACTGACATCAGCAGTTTCTTGTCACGCACTGGGAGCCCTCCTCTGGTCGCGAGGGCATCAGCCGCCCGAAGTCTTCGATCAACACGCGGGAGCGCAGCCAGGGACGCGACCGCCACCCGCAGCAGCAAAGGAGCCACAGCGCGGTTGGGGGTGGAGGGGCCCTTTGCGGTTTGCGAATTCAATCGTCGAATTGGCGAGCGAGCGAGCGAGTTGAATGGATGAGCGGTGGCGCAGCGGTCAGCTGCGAACGCGGGCGACCCGAGTTCCATTCCCGCTTACGGCGATCGCCAGGGACGATAATCTGAACAGGTCCCTGGGTCTCACCTAAGTCGACTCAGCCTTAAATGAGTACCGGATGCGATGTGTACACATCGCCGCGAGGGAGACAAAGGCGGTCGGGCGTGGTGCTGGCCACCCACCCCCTCGTGTGTCGTGTCGGCCTTCATAGGTGCTCGCATGCAGCCCTTGTCCTAATTTCATGTTAAGGCTATACGGGGGCGGGGGGGGGGATCTTTATCTTTGTGTAAATGGGATAATGGGTGTGGCGAATGAGAGTGACTGAATTCAAGTGAACTATCGTGAATGAGCAAGCGAGAGGTGAACGAGTGTGACTGAGACTCCCCGAGCCTTGGTGTTCAACCGTTGCCCGTGTTCGTGTGTGGCGGATGAGCGGGTGAGGGTTACTATTGATAGGGGTATGGTCAGTGGCAGGGGTAGTTTAATGTGCGT